ATCTCACTAGAAATGGCGCGACGCGACGCGGCGGTCAAGCAGTCGGTCGTCAAAGTTCGCAGCGTTGCTGGTTGCCCTAAATTTCTGAATATCGTAAAAATACTGTCAAGTTAAAAATTTCAGGGATTTTTTAGGTCCCGGCCAAGGTAAAACTTTCGCCGGGACAAACTTTCTGATTCCTGGTTAATCCCGGCCAAACCGGGACGGTTGGGAACCCTATCTTAGATTCAGTCTACTAAGGTGTTCATTGAGGAGACAGTGTCCTGTAAAAAAACCCATGACAATCCGAAGATTGTTCTTACTTAAATCAAGGAAAATCTTAGATTTTTTTTCTCCTGAGAAATTTCTTCGAGTGTCTTAGACCGTTGGTGGAGGATTCCAGGTTCTGTGACATAAACTTTCCTTTTATTGAAAATTTAAGTCAAAATATTGCGAACGGCTACTCTTATATCGGAGGCGGTGGGAACAAGCTTTTGCTTCTGCACTTGGCTAAAAATATGATACCCACCTATACCTTACACTGCATACCAAAGGGCGCCACTTATTTCAAAAAGATGCTGATACTTTACAAAGGATAGTACAAACTGAAATAAGAAAATTTGTACAAGTGTATTAATTGAATAGAAACTAAAATTAGTATAGCTATTAAATATTTTGAGAAACTGGATCAACCAATGAAACAATTCAAATACCCCAAAAAAAAAGATTTATTACTTGTTAGAAATATTCGGTACCTATTGGGCACAGCAGTTATGTACATTAATATACAAGAATTATATTTAAGAAACTCTATCTTAAAACTTGTTTAAAATCAAATTATATCTTTTCAAATATTAGATACAAATAATTATAATATAAAAGCAATACTTTTTAGAGACAGTCTTGGTTATATTCGAATAATAAATATTTAAATTTGACTTGACTTATTAGGAAGATTCATGAACCTTTTTGTTTATATATAGTTAAAGGGAAAAAGATTAAAATCTGTACCCAAGATTGCCCTTACAGGTCAAAGATCGTAATGATATAAAAGGTTAACATAAATAGATGTTAAATATGAATAATCAATCAATATAACATGATTATTTTAATAATCAAATACAAGTAAAATTTAAGCAATGCTGAAGGCAAATACCTTAGAAGTGTTAAAAAATAATAATAAAATGTAACAGAACGTTAAATTTTATAAATTAAGGGTTAATGTAATGCTGAAGGCAAGTACTTAACCAGTTAAATGTAAAATGTTAAGAATATTTAATTTCTTAACACACTAATGATTATTTAAAATCAAATTAATAACATTTTAGTTTACTATAAAAAAATATACTGGCCTTGTATACCAAATTATACCAAAAATAGGATCTTCTTAATAATACAAAAACATCACAGCATCCAACTTCTTCTCAGAGGGGTGCAGGGCTGAAATCTAATCGAACAGGCTGCTACTGATTACTTCGGTGACTGAACACGTAAGAAAACTTGTGGAAAAACTTGGCATAAACTTCTAGAAAAATATGCAGAACAACTTGCAGAAAAATGTCTAGAAATACTTGAAGAAATACTTGAAGGAAAATCCAAAGAAAAACGTTGAGAAAAATACGTAGAAAAATCTGTAGAAAAACCTAAAAAGAAATGCACGGTATTAGTTAACCTTACATTTAAAAAAACTTGAAAAGTTTACGACGGTATTAATTTACCTCATTGTGAAGGCACACAATCAATAATTTAACATTTCTTCTCAAATAAGGGCTGGACACTTCTCATCAAAAAACTGGAATCTAAAAGAAAGGCATGTGAAGGTTTTTTCTATCGAATGGAATGTCAAAGAAAATCTTACCAAAACTATCTAGTGATGGGCAAAACTTATTTTTAGATAACAGTTGAAACTGTTATAGTTATTTATAAAAAACAGCTTAAAATAACAGCTTAAAAATAACAGGTTTCTTTATTTTACTGCTAAATATCTGAAAGAGTATGAGGCGGTCACCGCCAGGCGTATTAACGCAGTTGCAAGTTGCAACAATGACGTGCTCGGTGGTAGTATTTCCAGGGTGTCAAAACATTTCCTAAATATCGATTGTTATCTAAAAAATACCTCTCTAAAACGGTGGTTGTTTACAAATAAGCGCTGTTTACAAATACACGATAAAAAAGCCAAAATTCCGCCACTCGTCTATACCTATACATTCCGATCTACCCTACGCCCTGCCCCTCGATCCGGGTAGATCCTGAATTGCGTAGCAAGTAGCACGGTGCATCTCACTCGACGGGCGAGAAGCTCTTAGTTATGATTTTACCATTTGCGGTCAAAAATAGCAATATAAGAAAATGTGTAGTATATTCTTCATAAGTGAAACCAACTACACACCAGAGTTCGAATTAATTTTACACTTAAACTAGCGTGTACCCGCGACTTCGTTCGCGTCGAATTAATAATTTCTAATGGTGATGATAAAGCAAAACAAGAACATACAAACTGGATAAAATTTTCTCACATTTGCCAAAAATAAGCTTTCTAACGTCGGCAGTTTAAGCAGAATCGTGGTTAATCAATTACTCAACTTTTTGGAACACCCTGTATGATTTATTAAAAAATTTCAAAATATGTAAAAAAAAACAAAATAAATTATGCGTGTCCAGGCGTTTTCCCGAAAGACTAACCGTTTTTTAAATAAATACAATATTTGTTAGTATTATTTGAGGGGCGTTTTCACCCTGTTGGAATTTGAGATTCGATTGAGTACCCCTCCTTATCGAACCTAAACCCCACAGTCAATCCGTTTGCCAAAAATCAGCTTTAAACGTCAAGCAGTTTAAGCAGAATAGTGATTACTCAATGGTCATATTTTATAAAACACCCTATATATATTTTTAAAAAATCTTAAAATATGTAAAACAACATAATAAAATATACGTGTTTTAAGAGTTTTTTTCCTAAAAACTCACCGGTTTTAAATAAAAAATATTCTAATATTTGAAAGTAGTTTCACTCCCTTAAATTCGAGTTTCGAAAAATCCTTCTTATCGAAACTCTACACACTAAAGTCAATCCGTTTTGTATACATTTTAAAAAATCTTAAAAATATTCTGAAAATTTTCAGAATAAATAAATACCTAAATATTGAAAACTTTAATAAGTAAGTACTGAAACATACAGCGCCATAATATCTCGACCTCCGTCCGTTATGCTCGTAACAGGTTGAAACAGAATGTATCTAAAACAACTGATGGCGTTATTCCCCAACCTGTTTCAAACCTCCATTGACAATCGACCGATGCAGCAGCGATCCTTTCCTACTCCGATTATCTCGACCGCCGCCCTGTTATGCTCGTAACAGGTTGAAAAACAACATATCTAAAATGACTGCTTCTCCAGCCGTTTGCGAGCCTCCATCGACAATCGACCGATGCAGCAGCGTTTTCTTTCCCACTCCTGTTATCTCGGCCGCCCAGGCGTTATGCCCGCAACTGTTTCAAAAAACCTGCTTCTTTTATATCCTATTATTTTTAAGCTGTTGCAAACCCAATACGACCATCGACGGTTTCGACCGAAGCAGCTACGTTCGCCGTAGCGCTTTCCCCACTCCGTTGTCCGTTGTCTCGCCGCCTGTATCGATGGTTGACGAAATAACAGCTTTTTTCGTTTTCCTGTTATTACCGATTCTGAACCGTCCCAGAATTGTGATGCGTATGCGCAGAAGGAAATATGAAGACATTATTTTATTTGCGCATGCGCTGGAGAGTTCTAGGACGATTCAGAATCGATAATAACAGGAAAACGAACAGACCAAACATGTTTTCCATCCATACTAGTTGTTTTTTGGAATTGCTTCGAGCAGCATAGAATTTCGTGGTGGTGCAGAGCGGCGACATCGTTTTTCGTTTCACGAGCGGCCGATCTCTACGTGTCGTTATTTTATATCTGTTATTTTTTAGAAGTAGTAACGGTTGCGTTATGTTATTTATAAATAATTGTTATAAAATAACAGATAGTTAAATAACAACCCATCACTATAGATCCATTAAAATCTCAACATTAACAAAATATATAATCTCAACCATCTATAGGATAATAAGAATCACAGAATTGAGTTTTTCCCATATTGTGAAAAAATACCAGCCAAATAAATTTTATTGAAAAATGGCACCGCGCTTAACGGCCAAATCCGAGGTGACGATTTTGACGTTTCCAGTCTTGTCGATACAATCGTGGGTACGATCCAATATTATTTTGATAGAGAGCGTTCCGAAATTTAAGTGTTGGAGAAATTTAAAGAAAAATATCGATATAATAATAAAAATCCGTCTATAATGAAACAAAGCAGCATTTGGAAAATGAAAATGCTAGAGTTCTTCAGTTTTAAATTGGTTTCGACTTGGGAAGGGTTTCTTTTCTAGCTTAATCGTTTGCTTTTTCATTACCTTCTATCACTAATGTGTGCTTTTTTTATAGAGCATCGTGTATATTTTTAACATTTCTATAAAAACTTCTGCCGCAAACTAAGTACCTAGATACGTATTGTGCATTACAAAAAAAATCAACTTATTACAGTAATTACATGAAGAATGCTAATAATAAAAGGTAACCCGCGAAGCGTTACTGCATTAATTACTAAATTACAAATACTTGTATAGAGTATGTTAATATTGCAATGAGTAATAAAATTAAACAATACTATATAACGGCTTTCTTGTATTGTTTTTATTATATATTTTTCTTTATTGTAAATTTATTTTAAATATTAACCTTATAATACCATAAAAAATACATTTACTTACTGTCTATGTACTTTCACAAAAAAAAAACGTTATTTGTTTGTAAAAATCACATAAAACTCTTATTTTTTTTTCGTCATATAGTTTTGGAGGTCATCTCTGTTTTCTCTTCAAGTGAATCATCATAATTCGTTATGAATATTCAATTTCCCATTATTAATTATTTTTAAAAAAGCTAACAGATGGAACATGTTTATTTATATATTTTTGTTTCTTCGTTACAGATGGCCGATACAGTGAAGAAATCTAGAATAGTAAGTGAGGAAGAGCAAGATTTGGAGGAAGCTTTACTTGAAGAGTTTAACATCAGACTAAAAAGCTGCATGAGTAACGTGTGTAATTTTGCTTTTCTGTTTTAATACTTATTATCAATTTTTTTTTTCGAAGTTAAAAGAAAATAATTTGGATTGATTTTTTCGAAAATATTTTCAAAATAAACTATTCTTCTGTGTCGAAGATTGATCTCTATAACTTTTAAGTTCTTTACATTATATCAGCTAGATTATACGAGCATAGAGCCATACAAACGTGGGATTTTTTTTGCAAAATTTACACTTTTAATGTAAATTTTCACATTTTTCTGTAAATTTTAAATCTCTAAAAAAACACTGTTTCTGTAAATTTATTTTTTTATAAATTTACACTGTTTCTTTAAATTTACAATTTTTTTCTGTAATTTTTTTTTTCTATAGATATACACTGTTTCTGTAAATTTACAGTTTTTTAAATTTTCTCTGTCAATTTGCATTTTCTTCTGTAAATTTACAGTTTTTTCTGTAAATTTTAAATTAACATTGTTTCTGTAAATTTAAATTAACACTGTTTCTGTAATTTTTTTTCTATAAATTTACATTGTTTCTGTAAATATACATTTTCTTCTGTAAATTTTTTTCTATAAATTTACACTGTTTCTGTAAATTTACGTTTTTTCTGTATATTTTAAATTTACACTGTTCCTGTAAATTTACAGTTTTTCTGCAAATTTACACTGTTTCTGTAAATTTACAGTTTTTCTGTAAATTTGCGCTTTTTCTGTAAGATCTCTTTTTTTGGTAAATTAAATAATACACTTTCTGTAAATTTACAGTTTTTTCTGTAAATTTATACTGTTTCTGTAAATTTACAGTTTTTTCTGTAAATTTACACTGTTTCTGTAAATTTACAGTTTTCTTCTGTAAATTTGCGCTTTTCTGTAACTTTTCACGGTTTTTTCGGTAAATTTAAATTAACACTGTTTCTCAAAATTTAATTTTTTTTTCTATAAATTTACATTGTTTCTGTAAATGTACATTTTCTTCTGTAATTTTTTTTCTATAAATTTACACTGTTTCTGTAAATTGACGTTTTTTCTGTATATTTTAAATTTACACTGTTCCTGTAAATTTACAGTTTTTCTGAAAATTTACACTGTTTCTGTAAATTTACAGTTTTTTCTGTAAATTTGCGCTTTTTCTGTAAGATCGCTTTTTTTGGTAAGTTTTAAATAATACACTTTCTGTAAATTTACAGTTTTTTCGGTAAATTTATACTGTTTCTGTAAATGTACAGTTTTTTCTGTAAATTTACACTGTTCCTGTAAATTTACAGTTTTTTCTGTAAATTTTTACTTTTCCTGTAAGTTTTCACTTTTTTCGGTAAATTTTAAATAATACACTGGTTCTGTAAATTGTATAAACAATTGTAAATTTACAGAAAAACTGTAAATTTGCATAAAAACCGTAAATTTACAAAAACTAAATTTACAGAAAAAGTGTAAATTTTGCTGAAAATATTTCACAATATCGGCAGCTCTCCATTAAAAGGTCCAACAAAAAACCGTTAAAGATCGAAATTTACCATCAAATATATTTATATTCGATTATATTATTTGCAAAAATAAATTTCATTGGTTAATTACAACAAATTTTAGCTTTTTACTCTAATCAGCAGCTTTGTGTGTCTTTAACTAACCAAACCATTTTAGGACGACCTTCAAAAAACCACAGACCCTCCTGAACCGGACGGTACGACCTACGAAAACATACATTCGCCTCAGAAGTTCACAAAGGCCGAGATCAAATCGACCGAAGCTTTCCTACGAGGGGAAATACAACATGAAAATTATTACGACGAGCCTAGATCGTTACTGACCAACGGTACTAAGCAGAACGGGCATCACAGTATGTCCGCCGTTGAAACGGATGAAGAAATCTACGAAAATATTCCCGAGAAGACTGAATTGGACCAAACCTACGTTCCGATGGTAGAATTAGAGTTAAGTCACAGTGAAAAACACTCAGAAAACGTCGAATACGAACCTATGGGTGGAAATTTAACTAGCTCAAATCTCTACGAGAGTGTGGAGCTTAAACCAGAAATTCCTAACGCAAAAAGACAAACTCCTACACTGAATCTTCCGACTACATCGTTTACAGACTGTTCCGAACAAAAATCACCGGATACCGACCTGAAATCCTCTGTAAAAGATCGTATGCTGCTGAGTTGTGATGATACATCAACTCTACTCTTTACCCAGACTGTTACCTCTCCTATGCTGACACCTAGTGAGGAAAACATAGATTTCCTCAAAGGTTTTCGAAGAGAGAACACAAATTCTGACAGCACGTCAGCCTCAAATGTTAGTCCCCCAAAAGAACAGGAAGAAAAAACCAGTCCTGATGTTTCCGAACAGTTGGATGATGAAAAAGTTCACAGTTCTGAGAACTACTATGAAAACACTGCATTTTATAAAAACACAACACCAGAAAACATGTATGAGAACTTAGAGCTAGCTGGGAAAGTTACAGCTTCAGATTTAGAACCGGAAGAAAACATTTACGAGCATTTAGAAGATATGGAGAGTGATGAGACAAATACCAAGGAAGAAAACATTTACCAGAATATCGAGGAAACTTTGGAGAGTGAAAATGAGAAGAAAGACTTGCGGAGTTGTGACACTGAAGACGGTAGCCTTGAGGAGTTTATCAGATACGAGAAGGAAGTTTCCGAGAGTTTTTTAGTCTCCAAGAAATCTCCAGAGAAAGTCGCAGATGTTTTGCCAGAGGAAGTGTTAGATATAGTTACAGATTCAAAAGTTAATGAAGATAATTTAAAGGAACCTGAAAACACTCCAGAGCAATGTAACTTGCGATTCGAACACCAAAAAACAGAAAATAGTGAATCGATTACATGCCAGACAATAACAACAGAAGAAAAACTCTCTTCGGAAACCTACAAAGAGCTGATATATCATCAAAAATGCGAAACCAACTCGAATTACTACGAAAAATACAATGAAGTTGTAACTAAAAGTACTAAAAATGAAGTGATTTCAAACAGAGAAAAAGATACAGAGACTGTTCCTGCTGAGATAGTTAAGAATTTGAAGAGTCAATTTCAAAATCGAGGTGTGGAAGTTGTTGGAATAGTAAAAAAGGATTCAAAGGCTGAATTGAAGGGCGCAAAAATTATCAATCAAATCAAGAACAAGTTTGAAGTGGGAAATGATAATGGAGATGAGAAGAAGTCGGATGATGTGAGTTGTTTATTATTTATAAAAAACAAACGAATTTATTAGATATTTCAGACCAGATTCAAAGTCATAATTTAGTTCAGTATATCTTGAAACAAAAACTGTTTCTTTCTTTTTAATTTTTGAATTGATAAAGTCTATTCTAAAGTTTCCTGTGTCCCATGAATGCTCACAAATCATAGATTTGCGAAGACCCAACTAAATATTTTTAAATAAACTTTATGTTTTTTAATTCGAACATTTTTAAAAGTCTACATAAATGATTTTCAATTTAAATTTTCTTATATTCACATTGTTTTATATTTGTTGGGTCAAAATAGATCATTCCAATGGGTCATTCAAGATAATTTATAAGTAAATAAATGCCTTTATTGTTAAAAAAAATTTCAATTTGTAGACAAAGGTAAACTAAACAAACAAAGTAAAAAACAAGGTACACAAACAAACAAACAAAAGATAATACAAAACATTATACAAATAATATATTGTCAGTCTTATTGTTTAAAATAAACATTTATAAATGTTTACAATGTCAAAGAACAAAAAAATAAAAACAACATTCAAAAATATTTAGCTAGTTTATAGTAAATATCAATGACGTCATTAGTAAATATAGCAATAGCAAACATTACACCAGTGTTTACAAGATCAAATTCGATTTTCAAAATATAATTCATTTACAGCGTAGAAAGCCTTGTCTAGTAAATAAGAGTTCAATGCTTTGCGAAATGATATAATAATATAATAAGAATATAGATATTTCTAAAAATTACAATGTCGTTTCTAAGGCTAACCAAACGTCCTTTTTAAATAGAATACTTTTTTTGTAATCCGAGTCCATTATATAATTTTTGGAAAAAAATATGTATTGGTAAGATATTCTTCTAGATGTTTTGCCTAAGTGTTAGTTGCGCTTTAGCTTTTTCTTCTGTTTTTTTATTAATTTATTTATTTTTTTTAAACATATTTTAGCGTGTTTTTTTTAAATGCATGATTAACATAATATATTAAAAATATAAAATGATAATACATAGTTGAAAAAAAATATTTTTTTTAATTTTTTTTAAATTGTTTTTTATTTTTATTTTTTTATATACAGAGTACCGAGTATTCGGAGACCATTGTAGAGAGTAGTGGCGATGGGGAGAGGTCCATTAAAAAGAAAAAAGTGAAAAAGACTAGAAAAGAAGAAAAAGAAAATATTTCAGTTGTAAGTTTTTTTTATTTCTTTATTATTTTAACCTTTTTGTCTCTAACATTATTTTTCATTTTTTTATCATTAACACTTTTGATAGCCCTTTTTTGTTCTCAACTAATTTTTTTTTCTTAATAAAAAATGACAGTATTAACTTAATACATGTTTTACTTTTTCTGTTAAGTGAATTTAATTTTATATCATTCCTAGTAAAATTTGTGCACGACTATACAGTTAAATTTTGCACGAGACATTGCCATTTTTATTGTATTGCTTTTAATTAATTCTAACTTTATTGTATTCTTCTCTACAACTACTAGATTGGTGCTATTAAGTATATATTTGTGTGTTTTATTTGTTTTTGCGCTTTTATCTATTTTAGAACGAAAACGGAATCTTAGAGGGAGAGAATTTTTACAATGTAAGCGTAAAAAGTTTGGTAAGAGCTTTATATAACTTTTAGTTAGGTAGGAATTTGCCCGAAAAAGATTTATATCTGTTTTTTAATTTATTTAATGCATATACACTTGCATGAGTTATAGTCTGTCAGTATAACAATTTAACATGATAATACAAAATAGATAAAAATCTTTTATTTTTAATAAAAGTAACATCACATAATAATAATAATAATCATACTATAACGTTTACTGCAGAGCATTTCATGTTAGTAAATGAAGCATAACTTTAAGATATAAGTACCTTTTATAAAAATATTTTCCTGAAGCATTTTTAAATTGTGACTTGGCTGAAAGCTTTCGAAGTTTTCTTACTGTCAACTGCATAAGATATGTAGATTTAGAATATACAGGGTGAGTCCTAAATAAGTGCAAATATTTTCAGGACCGGTAGATCCAAAATCGAGTTATTTTACTTTGAAAATTTCCAAAAAGAATAATTTTTTTGCTTAAATTTTGAGAACCACTGGTTTCTTTCTTGTAAATGTAATCTACAACTTATACTGTCATATTATCAAAAAATAGTTTTTAACTAAAAACTAAAAAAAATCCAAAATTTTTTTGAAAAAAATCCCAATTTTTAAGAAAATGTTCGGGAAAAACTAGTATATAACAGTAGTTTTAAGGCCTAGATATATATTTTATACAGAGAAAGTCAAAAGAGACCAAACTTAAAAATAGAAAAAATGTATTATGTGACGTTACCAAATTGCTTATTTTTAGACAATAATAAACCTAGCCTATTTCTGCCTGTTTTATTATGATTGTATTGAATGCAAGAAGCATGCCTGCAGCATTTTTTCCTACTAATACAGCATTTTTTTATATTTTTTTGTTTCGTTAGTGTAGATCGTTTGGAGATTTAACAAAAATTCACAGCGATAAGAGTAGTAAAAAGAATACGAGTAGAATGGTAAGACAATCTATCATCTTATATGTATTAATAATTTAAAGTATATACAGTGCGCGCAAGAAGTTCCGATCCAGATCAGGAAAAAAATTCTCATAATTTTTTTGTGTGTTGAAATTTCTTGCGCACCCTTTATTTTTCATTCAGTTTATTTTTCGCTCATTTTGCTTTGATACGGCTTTCGGTAACATTTTAATTTTTGCTTCATTTTATTTGAATTTTGTAGCGAACTAAATCGTTGACAGACATGATGTGTCAATCATCTAACCTCAAACATGTAATAGAAATAGAGAATGTTTTCTCCAAAGTATCGGTAAAAGCTCTGGTAAGAACTACTAATCAGTCGATTGAAAGCTTATTAAGAAATATCTCCGTTAAAAATGAATAAATTCATGGTATTATTGAATAAAAACAACGTCACATTAGTAGTCGTAGTAACAGAGTGACTACTAGTTTGACGTCATGACAGTAACCTTTCCAATGTCGTGAATGCGTAAGCTATGTTATTTTTGTCAATAACGGGTATAAGTAGACACACTTTTCAGAAGTAGGTACTGAGAAATTATGTTTATTTTTACCTAAAAAATTATAAAAAACAGATATCTTTTAATAAGATTTCAACTTGATTAAACTGCTAGTCCATATTATAACCGTTTAGCTATATTTAGGCATTATTAGTCACTAACCGATAGTTTTGTTGCATGGTTTCTTTTTGCATGATCGCCAAAAATGCGTAGACAGAAATCTTTAGCATTGGAGGAAATAATTCTAAAAAATGCCCGTTCAAAAGCGAAGCAGTGGTAAGTGTGCAGTGGTTTCGGACAAAAAAACAAGGTGTCTTCTAAACAGATCACACGAATTTGCAATATATACAGTCCATCTTACGTGATCTCAAGTGTTCCTTGAATCATTAACTCAAGCTTTGCTTGAAATGCACAAATATAGGTCTATTTGAAAATGTACTAAATATTGTACAAAAATTTAGGTAATCACAACCCTTAAATTTTTCGCATCGTTCGAATTTGCTTGAAATATACAACACTATACTTTCATATTAAAAATGTACTAAGTACTGTACAAAATTTTAGGTAATCACATCTATTGAGTTAATTGTCATTTTTTCAGGGTTGGTGTATTTTCAAATCACTTTCTATATTGATGGAAAATAGAGTAAAATCTATGGTTTTGAGAAAATTTGGCATGAGGATGTGTGATCTGTGTAGTTGACTTCTAGTTTTTAGTAAATATCATCAATCTTTCTGAGGTTTACGTCATTATTGTTCATTTTATTATGGTATATACTTTATTTTATTTTTTTTTTGTTACATTGGGAAGTCGCTATGGTCTGTCTAGCGAGATATAATATGATATTTACAGACATTACATTAAAAAAAACTAACAAATAACTGTCATAATATTTCTTTGCTGGACAGACCATTACTTAAGATGAATAAATATATTTTTTGTAAGTGAAATATTTTATATCGTTCAAAATATAAAATACCACAAAAATAAAAAAAAAATCTAAAGATGAAAAACTATAATAGGAAAATCTATATATTGAAAAGATATACTGCAATATTAGTATTAATATTTTTTTTCTTTTAATTTTTAGAAATCCAGTTTCTCTAAATTTGACGCTTTACAGAAGAAAAACGTTTTCCATGTTAGATCCTCTGATTCAACCAAGGCTCAGGAAAAATTCAGTAATGTAAGTACATTATACAGGGTGTTTCAAAACAAATGCGAAAAACTTTAGGGGGTGATTCCTTGTTCAAAATAAAGGGTAGTTTGCTTTATAAACGTTGGGTCAAAAGTCAACCATTAGGGAGATATCGCGGTACAAAGATGGCGGAAAAATAATGTTTTTATTTTTTATCTTGAAAACGAAAAGAGATAGACTAATGAAATTTATGGAAGCATTACTGTTATGAAAACACACATTTAGGTAATTTTTTTTACTTTTTTAAAATGAGTGGAAGGGGTTGAAATAAACTACCCCTATCATTCTTGTTAACGAAATTTAAAGAAAAATCTTATCAAACACATGCAAATGCTTTAATTTGGATAGTTTAGTTTGTTTAGAAACTTTTTTACTTCTTGTGTTTTTTTGATAAAACTCGCCGACTGGAAATTAAAAAATAAAATGTAAAGCATTACATGTCAGGACAAAAAAACATTTTTAGATTAAGAATCTAGTGATAATAACGATAATAATAATCATCTAGATAATAACGTATTGCAGTAGAGTAATGTCAAATAAAATAATATTAGGAACATCTTAAAAAGTAACAGCGGCCGACTAGATTTTTTCCTAAAAAAATTACAGCAGCCCACTAGATTCTTTATCAGAAAAGGTTTTTTGTCCTGACATGTAATGCTTTACATTTTATTTTTTAATTTCAAATCGGTGAGTTTTATCAAAAAAATACAAGAGATAAAAAAGTTTTTAAACAAACTAAACTATCCAAATTAATTTTTTTGCATGTGTTTGATAAGATTTTTCTTTAAATTTCGTTAACAAGAATGAATGGGGTAGTTTATTTCAACACCTTCCACTCATTTTAAAAAAGTGAAAAAATTACCAGAAAGCGTGTTTTCATAACAGTAGTGCTTCCGTAAAATTTTATTAGTCTATCTCTTTTCGTTTTCAAGATAAAAAATAAAAACATTATTTTTCCGCCATATTTGTACCGCAATATCTCCCTAATGGTTGACTTTTGACCCAACGTTTATGAAGCAAACTACCCTTTATTTTGAACAAGGAATCACCCCCTGAAGTTTTTCGCATTTGTTTTGAAACACCCTGTATATATAAAGTTTTTTCTGTAAAACTCTATAAGATGTAAGTGTAAAAAATAGACTTGGACAGAAGTCTTAGTTAAAGCTAAAAAATGTTGCTTGTTTTTTTTTGCTCCATTCTAACCATTTTTATATTACAAAAATACAGTTTTAATTTAGTTCCTGTTCAGTTTTAATTAAAAAAATAGATGCAGTTTTTCTTAAATTGCTTAAAATCGGCTTGTCCAAAATTGTTCAAATTTGGCATGTGTATTCAGCATAGGCAGACCTTTACCACTTTTACCACTAGCTGTAAAATTAATGGGCGAGCCAATATTTGGACAGTTCCAAATTTGCACGGATTGATTTCCTATGTTTCCAACGACGATGCTACCACCCGGTATACTAATCAGGTAGATAATATTTATCTTTTTTCACACATGGTGAACACTTCTCTTTGATATACACAAATTTTATTCTATGTGAAAGTTTAGTTGAGTGTAAATCAAATTTTTGAACGGAAAAAGGTTCTTCTGGTCTTAATTTAAATCTCACAGAGAAAGACATTATAAAAAATTGGAACAATGTATACTTTTAGTCTTATCAGTAAATTTGAGGTGAATATTATTTAGCAGAAGTTTTTAAAATCTAATATAAATAAATCAAATAATATTTTTCTACAGGGTGTACAGTTGGAGTTGTTCACCAATTGCAAGGCTTGCGGTAAACAAGTTTTTCAAATGGAACAAATTAAAGCTGAAAGGGCTCTGTGGCACAAAAACTGTTTTAGATGTACCGAGTGTAGCAAACAGCTAACGTAAGTACCGAGCAGAAATATACAGTGTGAGTCTCTTAAATAAGTGCAAACATTGTTAGGGCTGGTAGATCTCGATAAAAAAAAAAGTCCGAAATAGTCGAGTTAAAATTGATTTATTTTTAAAAACATTTGAGAGCCACCGGATTTTTTTCTGTATTAATATCAGATGTTAAGAAATTATACCGTGGGAAAATTTGCGGTGAACAGGCAGTTCTAAAAAGTTTTCTAAAATATACAGGAAAATTTATAAGAAAATGCATAATTTTCAACATATTTTTTGCGAAAAAAAACCTCACAGGCGTGTTCTCTGGGGTAGAAATATACCACCTATGAAAATATTTACACTTATTTAAGACTCGCCCTGTATTACTGTGATTCTGCCGTATTATGGCCCAACGTTGGGCGCCATAATGTGACATTGGATTCGTGTTTTATTGGCTTAGGTTTTATTTAAGCAAAGCCACAAGAATTTGACGTCGACGATTGATATTTTCTTTTTATTTATATACAGGGTGGACACGTACGAAAGCAACGAGGGATCCCTGTATTGTAAACCGCACTTCAAGGCCTTGTTCGCTCCGAAAGTTGTGGAGGATGAGGCACCTCGTAAGTAACCGTCTAATAATTTCTATAATAATTAAGTTTACCGATCTTGGTTACTTAATGTTCATATAGCATTATCGTAGATTTTTTTTGTAAATATTATTTATTACAGCGAGACCCCGAAAACATGAATTAATCATACGCGAAAACCAGCCTGTAGAATTGCCACCAGATGTGGTCAGAGGTAGTAAAAAAGGCTTTTGTGTGTATTTTTTAAATTTCCGAAATAAAACCGAATAACAACCCCATCTTGTGTCCGAAAATAGCATTAATATGCATTAAAACCGTTTTTTTTTGTTGCTTTTATAGCCTTTGACTTATTCACGTTTTTTTGTGTATTTGATGTGTTTTTTATATCGTTTATATTTTATTAATAAGTTATATGGTTGGTTTATATACAGGGTGAGTTTCCTACGAAGTTCTCTATGGGTATCTCGGAAACTACTGGATATAGAGAGTCGGTTAAATGGGGAAAGAATTGCAGTTTTATGGGGTCATAAATATGCGCCTTTCAGATTTTTGAAAAAGTTCATGGCTTACTAGATATTTCGAAAAAAACAAATTTCGGCTATTTTAAAAATTGTCCCTAATTCCATTATAAGCTATTTTAGACAAAAAGTTTTCAGATAAAAGTTGTAGATAATCGCATCCTTAATGAGACTGTGTCCTCCGTTTTTTTTTCCTAAAGCCTCTCGTTTTTGACATATGACACAAACATAGGTTTTTTTAAATCGAAACCATAGTTGGCCGTGACTTCATAAAAAGCGCCATTTTTTAAGCTTTTTAGTGATATAAGCTATAATATCTTTTCTTCGAAAAATTACTGAGTTATAGCCAATTCTTATGATTTTAAACAGATTCACTTAGTTAGCCATGGAAACAAGTTCAATCGCCGTTGCTCTCAGAAATGTGAAGCTGTCACATCCAAACTTTGTAAATTAAAATAAACAAAAATTGTAAATATGAATTTTTCAAATGAAGAAAAGCGTGTAGATACTCGCGCATCAATAGAGTGGTTCCAACATGACCTTCCATTATGACACACCACCCCCCACCCCCCATAATGAGAGAAATGTTAAAAATTATTTATATCATAATTATTATACAAACGCAGGCAGGGATAGGAAGAGGTGGAGAATTGCAGGGGCCTCCCCAATCACCTGACCTATCCATTTTAGAATTTTTTGTGCGGTATAGTTAACAATAAGGTTTACAAAAGAACTTATGAATTAAGAGAGGCACTAGAAGTGGCGGTACGAGAAAAGTTTAATTAAGTCGACCGGTCCTTCTATGAGAATGTAGTAATTCAGTTTTACAAAGATGCAACTCAAAACAATGGCGGATTTTTTGAACATTTTCTAAAATAACTTAAAGTGTATGTCGTGATATTATTTTTTTAAGTTTTAGTCTGTGTAATGTAAATTGTAAAGAACCGTAAGAGCAACGGCGATTGAACTTGTTTCCATGGCTAACTAAGTGAATTTGTTTAAAAATGATAAGAATTGGCTATATAACTCAGTAATTTTTCGAAGAAAAGATATTATAGCTTATATCACTAAAAAGCTTAAAAAATGGCGTTTTTTATGAAGTCATGGCCAACTATGGTTTCCATTTAAAAAAACATATGTTTGTGTCATATGTCAAAAATGACAGGCTTTAGAAAAAAACGGAGGACACATTTTCATTAAGGATGTGATTATCTACAACTTTTATCTGAAAACTTTTTGTCTAAAATAGCTTATAATGGAATTAGGGACAATTTTTAAAATAGGCGAAATTTGTTTTTTTTTAAATATCTAGTAAGCCATGAACTTTTTCAAAAATTTGAAAGGCGCATATTTATGACCCCACAAAACTGCAATTCTTTCTCCATTTAACCGACTCTCTATCTCCAGTAGTTTCCGAGATACCCATAGAGAACATCGTAGGAAACTCACCCTGTATATATCAAGTATTAAGATAATATAAATTCATTCAGAATCTCGGAATTAGTGGAATAAATTAGTGGTTTCAATTATACTTTATACTGAAACATTTACGATCATTCACAATATCTAAAGATATACATATAATTATAATTAATAGAATATCCTAGCAACAGCTTGCGGTAGTCAGTTGTATCCATAAAGCCTAATAATTAGCTTATAAAACAATAAAGTTTTGCATTTCTAACCACACTTTCCCTTGACGGATGATAATCAAAGACCATAATGACATTACTCGCAAATTTTGAAGTATAATTAGTGGCAAAAGTTAAGATTTGTTAACTTTTTCTACTAATTGAAAATTACTACCACTAATTTTCACGTTCTGAATGTTTACATTGAAATTAGAGGAACAAACTTCTATGCTACTTAAAACCCCTAATGTCGAGGTTCTGAATGAAAATTTAGTCTTAACCTTACCCTTAACATTAGCTCTAAGAATTTAAGGAAATACGTCTTACACTTCTCCTTACTATCTTATAGTAAACGCCACGAATGTTTGGGAGTGATTCATCGCTTGATGAAGTTAGAATCGACACGCGCGCTATCATTTTTACATTAAAGACGTAAATTTTTACCGCAGACGTAGGTTTTTAAAAGCCCGGTCTAATCATCTGCCTGCGCTCCTCCTACTTATTCTAAAATATTAGCGTGATTGACAAAGACGATACTATATCGCGTTTCTTTGATTGATTCGTTTTTGTGCGTCAGTCCATTGGTGTGCTTGCAGTGAGACCAATGGGGCATTCCATTTTATATTTATAACCAAATATATGTTTTGACAAGACGTTGACAAGTTAAAACAACAAATTACAACAGATTATATATCGATTATTATTTGACTTGAAACACTACGGCACTGGAATTAAGTTTTATGTGACCTTGAACAGATTAGTTCACACGGTAGCGACCGATGAATCACTCCCAAACATTCGTGGCGTTTACTATATGAATATTCTAGTATACATTTGCACTAATTTGAAACATATACTTTTAGTTAATCTAAGTTTACAAATATTTTTAGAATTTAGAAAGCTAGAGAGACTAAATTTTCACAGTTTTTTTTAAATTAAGATGACTGCAACTGTCACTGATGTCGTATATTTTTTGTCTATCATTTTAAAGCTTGATTTTCATGCATCCGTTGTCCGACGATACGTTGATACGATATTAATTTTATTGGTTGAATTTAAAGGCTTCGATTGATTAACCGTTTCTAACAAATCGAGGCTTTTAAATTCAACCAATAAAATTAATATCCTATCAACGTATCGTCGGACAACGGATGCATGAAAATCAAGCTTAATTCACACGTAAATTGAATTTTCTGTCATTTTTTGGATGTCCCTCTGTCGAAATCTTATTTGACTCGTTGGACAGACGTTAGCTAGCCAGACTTATTATTATTATTATTAATTTTAAAAATTGCCAAAATATTCGATTTAACTTTAAGCCAGAATGGAATAGGTACCTACTTATTAATACTTATTTTGATATCGGTTTTGTACTGAAGTGTTTTACTAAAATATTATTTATGTAATAGCGAGTGACAAGCCTGATCTCGGTCTGGAAGAGCTTCAAAGCCTGAACGTCAAAGAACGATTCCAAGTGTTCGAAAACTATCAATCGCAACAGGTAGAAAGTTCCGATGTGGAACGGGGTGGAACTCCTGTTAAAAGATCTCCTTCGATATTATCCAAATTAGCCAAGTAAGTACAATGGTACAACCACAGTCATTTCATTAGACAGCCAGCCGACTTAGCGCTGTCCTATGTTTCCTTCTGAACATTAGTAGTTCCTCTGTAATCAGACTTGTTAAATAGACTGGCTCTCCAGTGATTAGGCTGTGGTACAACTTTAAAATTCTTTTGAACTGAAAAATGTACCTAGTACCATCAGTCAAATTTAAATTTTGTGCATTTTTTCCTAGATTTCAGAAACACGGCATGGATGTAGGTGTGTCCAACGAAGCTTTGGATGGTATTCCTATCGAAGAATCTTCTTCAGAAGAAGAGGTGGAAGACGATGATGTTCCTGATGGTGAAGACCCAGACTTAGTTAGGTAAGATATTATATTTAAAATTATTTTTCAAAGGGAGTGTACACTTTTCATGTTTTTTTTTTCGGAAGAGCTAAAAAAGTTCAAAAAGAAAAACCTTTCCATTTCACTGGCATGTCGGATGTCAAAAAGAAATGGGAACACGGAGATCACACCAGAGAAGAACGGAGAGAAGAAACCAAACAAGAAATACAGAACATTAGAAATAGATTATTCTTGGTAAGGGTCTGAAAATCTAAAAAAGAACAGTTTATAAATATTTATATTTTAGGGGAAACAAGAGAAGATGAAGGAGGCCTACCAACAGGCTATAATGGAGAGCGAGTCCAGCGCCAACTTAAGGAAAAACTTGACAGAAACAATCGAAGTCTGTGATACTAAATCAATTAAGGAACGGTTTGAAAAAGGCGAAGTAGCCAACGAGAAAACAAAAGAAAATCGGGGCGATGACGAAGAGGAAGTATACGAAAGCGGTAAGTTTAAAATTCATAATGAAAACAGTGTATTTATTTTAACTATTTATTTATTGACCGTTTCCCAATTTTGTGCAAGTATTATTGGAACGTGTGTGGCTAGCATTAGTCCCACTTCAGATGTTAGTAAAGTAATGCAGGACTTAATCCTGTACAAAACATACGTTTTCTTTTTAAATTTAAATCGAAAAGTTGAAATTAAAACCATTATAGGAAGTAAGGTTTTTTTTTTAATTTTAGAAATAAGCAAAAAGTCCAGATCTTTATTTTTGGAATTGGATGCTAGTGCTTCAAAACCTCCACAATTATCTCCAGTAACGCCTCCAAAATTGGAAGTCAAAAAGGCCAGAGAGGTATTTTTTTTCAATATTATTATAATCATTATTTTATTATATGTTAGGGTGCACCAAAAAATATATATTTTTTTATTTTAGTTACCATGAAAATAGAAAATCACGACACCTCTGAATATTAATATTAAGATCTCAAATTTTATCAGATTTCGTGAATGATATTTTCACGGTAATTAAAAGAAAAAAAAAATTGGTGCACCGTAATATACATACATTATGTATATACAGGGTGTTTCAAAAAACATGTGCCATCTCTCGTGGGGAGATTCCTTACGTTAAAATAAGATTTATTTTTCATATCAACATAGCTCCGATTCTGCTTTGTTTCGTAGCTACAGGGTGTTTTCGATTTATTACAATTTTCTTACAAGTACTTTTAGCGTTTCGAATGAAATTTTGAGTGTAAAAGTTACTACAAATGCGACATAATTTAAAGCTAAACAGGGACGTGCATATGGGTTATCACTGACTTTTTTCTTTTGATATCAAAATTGTATAGGCCGTTTAATACCAATTAAAAGTTATCTCTTGATATTTTGTCGAATTCGGCCTCCTTGATGAGACAAACGCAATTTTATTAAGCACAACTAATAAAATTAAAACAAAAATAAAATTAATAAATGATATATTTTACTTAATTTATTATTAAATATTATTACTATTAGTCCAGCCTACAGCAAGTTCAAATAAAAAAATAATGGTATTTAAGATAATTACCAAAAACCTAATTTTCAAAAAATTTAAACATCCTGTAACTCTTTCCATACCCATGTTAATAGGAACATTTTTTCATATTTTTTGATGAGGAACCAATGAGTACTAAGTTAATGATAATAAAAAAATTTAAAGGTTGCTATTGGACTTGGATCAAGGCAAATTAATAAAATTGCGTTTATCTCATCAAGGAGGCCGAAATCGACAAAATATTAAGAGACAACTTTTAATCGGCATTAAATAGCTTACACTATTTCGCTAACAAGAGAAAAAAAGTCAGTGGCGTGCATGCTTTCTTTAGAAAAATATTCCAGTGATAACCCATATGCACGTCCCTGATGAGTTTATCGGCACTTTTTTAGGATTATAATATGAAGCACTTATAGTATCTTTTACACTCAAAATTTCATTCGAAACGCTAAAAGTACTTGGAAGAAAATTGTAATAAATCGAAAACACCCTGTAGCTGAAACAAAGTAGAATCAAACCCATGTTGGTATGAAAAATAAATCTATTTTTACGAAAGGAATTTCCACTCGAGAGATGGCTCATGTTTTTTGAAACACCCTGTATGTTGGGTCAAAACATATCAGTGTATATGCTTAGTCTATTGTCTGTGAGGTCAATATTTTTTTCTTTGCCATATTTAGGCGTATTTAGCTAAATCTTCCAACGAGGATACCGTAAAATCTACCGAACAAATTGAAGAGGTTGAGGTTAGGACGGCAGATATACAGGAAAGGTTTAAATTTTTCGAAACCTACAAAGAGCCGGAACAGGAGAGGAAAAAATTTAGAATAACTCCACCCCGAGATCCTTCGCAAGTTAAGGTTAATAGAAAACTTCAGGCTTGTGTGTCATATACCACTAAAAACTAAATACGCATAAAATATGACTTTTTTTCTAACAAGCTGAGGGAGTGTTTTAACCTTTAACCGCAAGATTTTCCCTTAAAACTTAACCCCCGTGTCGTAAAGCATACTACATACAGGGTGTTCCATTTTCGTGTGTTTTAAGGTCGATTTATAAACTGAAAACGTTGCGGTTCGACGTCCGACGTTACGGTCGGTAAAAAGTTTGTTTATACGCAGGATGTTTTGTTGATTATAAATTTTTCAGTTGTTGTTGCGGTTGACGTTTTACGTCAAAAATTAACCAATTTTTAACTTCGACAGGAACGTTGACCTTGAAACGTTAGTAATAGCCAATAGAAATAATCGCAACCGCAACGTCGAACCGCACCGTTTTCAGTTTATAAATCGACCTTTACAGTTATGTTTGCCTGTGATACAAAGATGGGGCTTTCACATCACTGCGTTTCTTTTTTATAAAACTAAAGATGTTATATTATAATATACAGGGTGAGTCTTAAATACGTGCAAATAATTTCAGGACTGGTAGATCTCGATAAAAGAAACATATTTTCTCTTTACCGTTTTTCAAATAAGTCCAAAATAACCGAGTTATTTTACTTTGAAAATTTCCAAAAAATATTTTTTTTCCTGAAATTTTGAAGACCACTGGATCTTTTCTGTGCTTTCTTTCTTGTAAATTTCATCTACACTACCTATGTTGCCATATTATCAAGAATAAATTATGGTTTTTAACTAAAACTAAAAAAAATCGAACAATTTTTCCAAAAAAAATCCAAATTTTCTTCGTGTTTCTGGGGTTGAAATATACTACCCCTAAAATTATTTGCACTTATTTCAGACTCATCCTGTACAATTTGAAAATTTTGCATTTTAGAATTTAGTGACGTAACTAGATTTTCGCTGGGAGCTGTCATTCTTGCAATATGATCCGAACCCATGTATTTATAAATGGGATATCCTGTATATTATTTTTTATTTTATTTGCCTCGTTACGAGCTTTCTAAAAATATCGTATAACAAGATAAAAAATGCATTGTTTTCTAAAAATTAATATTTCACTAATTCTAATGTCAGACGATATTTGAGTGCGACAGCACATTTTAAATTATAAAAATAAGTAAAGCGTTTTATTCTTTATTTTATAGACTGAAACACCAGAAAGGGAGATCTATAGAGATCCGGACGTAGTGAGGTCAGAAGAATACATAGACGATTCGAAAATAGCTAAAGAATCCCATACAGCCTCGAAAATGTTGAACAAATTCAGACAGATGGAAGAGAACCTTAGCAGGGAACCAGAACAAGCCGCTGGTCCAAAACCATTAAAAAGATTCACTCCACCGCCTGAACCGACAAAACAGGAATCCCACAGCGAGGAGGAATCTTCAGAGTATGAAGAAGAAGAGGAGGAAGAGGTGGACTATGCGGGGAAATTACCGGAAGATATAGTTGAAGCGCAGAAAGCAGCCAGAGCCAAACAGTTACGGGCCAAGTTTGAAAAATGGGAAGCCAACGAGATCAAAAAAGAACAACAGAATTCTGTAAACGTACTGGAAGAAAACGGGGAAGAACAATCACAAATTGAATCTACAAGAGTGTAAGTTTTTTTGTTGGCGATTGGTTATATTTCTCCACTTACTTCTGTCTCTCTTCTCCAGTCTCTTCAAGGAACCCTTGTTTCAGTCATTCTTTCAACATGTCCCTGCCATCTCAGTAGTTGTGCTCTTGCCACTCCCGTTATACTCGTTTCATGATATAGTTGCTCTATTTCTTCGTTTGTTCTTCTGGTGCTCACCTGTTGTCTATCTTTTTTCCTTCAAAAATCTTCCTCGGTATTTTCCTTTCCCAAATCTCTAACCTTGAAATTTCGGTTGCCATTGAACGTCCGAGTTTTACAAGCATATAGTATAAAGCTCCGCGCGCACTGAAGCGGTATCGGCGAGAGCGAGCGGCACGACCGGTCGGAAAGTCGATTGTAGCCGCGCACTGGAGTCGCACTATCGACGGTCGAGAGTACGTCACCAGCATAAATTTGAGCATAGACGAGGAGAGGTTTATTCAAATTTAGTCAAATTCATTCGGCATTTCAAAAAATTATAAAGTATTATTACTATTTATATTTTTATGCAACTTTTGCAAACTTTGCAAACCAAACCAAATCAAACTTTTTATATTTTATGCTTTATGATGGAAATTAATATTATTTAGAATTTTTTAAAATCTTTGTTTTTAAGTCAGTAGTAAATAAAGCGAAACTTGTGTTTACATTTTGTTTAATGATTGACGTGTCTTCTTCAGAATCTATAATATACGTATAACTAATTTTCTACGTTTGTGGTAAGAAAAAATTATATATTAAACACATTGTTAGTGATAAAATTGTATTGTATATTATAGATTCTGAAGACTGAATTAAAATTAGTCGAAACGTCAATCATTAAACAAAATGTTTCGTTTCAACACAAGTTTCGTTTTATTCACTACTGACTTAAAACCAAGATTTTAAAAACTATAGATAGATATAAGATAAAAAAATATAAATAGTTTTTATAGTACCGTATTATCGAAAAGGAACGGCATCAGCGATGGCCATGAAATGAAGATCGGTGCCATTTTATATGTAAATTTATATAGGAAATGTCATCAATCGTCATTTCCCATCCAACTGGACGCCGATTTTTTTCTATCATACGACAGAATAGATATGTACAAATATTTTATTCAAACATAAATATTATTTTTCTCTATTTGTACCTTGTACGGAGCGATCAACATAGTAACAAGGATGACTATTTAGCTGTTATTACTAACGTCAAAACAAACCAAAAATTAAATAATATGATAATAATATGATAAGTTTTTTGACGATATTTAAATTCGATTTTCAAAATAATGTGAGATAATCAAAACGAGATGAGAAATAAATGGGTTTAATCGGAAGATTTTCTAATTCAGTTATTGAATAAGTGTAGTAAACAATATAGGTTACGTGCTTGTAAGAAATTTTTATAAAGAACCGCATATTAAGTATGATATGGTCTCTTACACTTTCGATTAATAATTCATCGGACATGTTTAATGTAAAACCGCTCCACTAAAAACAGTCGCTCGGCTAGACTATTCGTCCCCCTCCCATGCATTCTCTGATTTCGCCTGATGGCGCGAGTACCGCCGATAGCTCGAAGCGCACCGATCTAATGCGGTGCGCGGGCTTACATTTATTTTAACGTGAACTGAAAATTCCGTGCCGCTCGCTCTCGCCGATACCCCTTCAGTGCGCGCGGAGCTTAATTGGTCGTATCATTGTTTGGTACATTCTGACCTTTAAACTTCTAGATGTTCTTGCTCTTAATATTAATTGTCTATAGTGCGTTTAAACGTCTATTTGCTGTCATTATTCTTGACACAATTTTCTGGGTTACCTTTGGTTTCCTTATAAATACGGTTCCTAGATATGTGAATGTACCTACTTCCTCGAGATGCCAGGTGCTCGGTGGCGTAGAGGTACGGGCTCTCCTCTACCAATCTCAAGGTAGTGGGTTCGAACTTCCTTCGTTACTACTTCCTCAAACTTGTATCGTTTCCCTCTCTCAGAATGTATTTGTAGAGATAATGTTTTATTAATTCGTATATATATCTTTCCCAATTTCCTGGATGAAGGACTGAGCTAGAATACATATAGGTATATAAAACCAATCCAATAAAACACAAATTCAAGGCCACATTATGGTGCCCAACGTGGGGCCCTAAAATAAAAATAATAATTTTATACAAAATATAAAAAAAATATTTTTAAACTTCATATTGACAAATTTGTTGTAGATTTTTACTGTATTTTACTTAACAATTATAATCTTTTCTTTCAGATTGAGAGCAAGGTTCGAGTCCATGAAACAATCGTCTAGTACAGAATCCAGGGGTCAACGCATCAAACCAAACCGTTTTGTGGTAAGTTTTTTAATAATTACTTTTTATTTTTTATGGCTTTTATTTTGCTAGTGTTTTTTTTTTTCGATTTTGGCAGATATTTTTTGTGTTTGTCTTACATATATATTTATTTTATTTATTTACAAGTTAACATATTTTTGTGCATGAAATACTTGGCTAACGTTTTGCAATTTTCTTTATATTTTGAGGTAAAGTTACTTATTTCAGTTATATATTAATTAATGTAACACTATCTATCTGAATTTAATTTTTTTTGGTGTTGCATGTTGAGTGTTTTTTAATTCTTTTTTAAAGAAATATAATAAAATACTTAGACTGGAATTTTCTTTTCAGTGAATTGATGCACAAGTAAGAATATCACAAAATGTCGTCCTTCTCTGTCTTATGTCGATGTAGGTTTAAAATGAAAGAAAAAATGTCAAAAAAACACCAATATACTGTAATATACCCTTGCATAAAGTCTACCAAAGTTTTAAACGTTTTTGAATTAAAACAATTTTTTAATGTTATAATATTTTTTAAATCAAATTAAATGCATCTAATAGACAGGAGAAGTTACGTCGCGTAGGAGGCTCAGCCTACTGACGTGACGTCACCCTTTTGGGTCGTCTATTGATGTGTTATTGTTTATCATATACTGTGGTATTTATTTTTTGATGTTAATAATTTTATAAGTAAGTTTTTCGATTATATACGATACGTTATTTTTTTTTTGAGTGTTTTGAAACGCACAAAAGTGTTTTTTTTAAACTGAATAGATAAAATCGTTAAAATTATGAATGTATATATAAAAGTGCCAGTTTATTGAAACAGGCAATAGTAGAAACAAACTTTTAGATTCTTTTTGATATATATTTACTTGTAATAGTAACTTTAGTCAATCTTAGGAGAATTACTATACATTTTTTACATTTTTCTTATTAAAATCAAACTGTATTTATAAAGATTTTTTTTTAATTATACGCCTAAACTGTATAAATTTATGAAACGTTTCTTTAGGAATTTTAAAAGAATATATTATAATAATTAAATATGGAGAAACGCTTAATTGTACCGTATGATGAATGAAAAAAACGGCGACAGAGACGGCTGGAGAATGACAATCGATGATAATTTTGGCGAGGTCAATCTCTAGACCTCATTTACTAAAACTTGACTTTAAACTTATCAAAAATTAACGGTAATTATTGATTTGGTTAAAAAGAAAAGAAGATTAAAAAGGCTAGAAATCGAGAAAAGTACGGGCCAAGTAAATGACGTCTAGGGCTTGACCTCGTCAAAATTATCATCGATTGTCGTTCTCGGCCGTCCATGACGCCGTTTTTTTTTCGATCGTACGGTATAACTTATCAGTTTATATGAATTGTTAGTCTTTATTAAACTTTCTTTGTTTTAAAGGTTTCATATAGTCTATTGTGCTGCTATTGTTTTTTTTTGTATACATTTATGAACTTATTATAGCTTAAATATTTGTAAATTTTGTTTTTTATCTCAAACAAATCGAAGCCGGAAGTAGTGCACTATTCGAAGTATATTCTGCATTAAATTAATGTCTATCATTATATTTTTTCCTGTTTTTATATCTTGTAGTGCTATACTACTGGATACTTTTATTCCATGTGTATAAATATGGAGAGTATCAACTAAACAATTTTTTGTTGAAACTAATACACCCTTTTATGTAAAATATTTATGAAAATACCCATGAATGTGCAATCAAATGGTTAAATATCTCTATAGCAATACATGTCTCATCAATTATCTCGATGTTAGACGTTATAAGACTTATTTTCCCCCAAAATGAGTGTCGAGATTTAAAAAAAAATAATTTGTTGAGTAAATTTTAGAAATATTCTTATCCAAATTTGACATTATAAGCCAGTAGGCTTAATTGTTTAAAATCTGTTAATTGTATATTGTTTTTAATGATTTTTATTGCTGGTTTAGAAGTACGTTGTAATAAGATTGTGCCAATTTTTTTTAGAAATATGTTGAGTGATTTAATAAATATATAATTTACCTCCTTGTATTTTGTTTTATTTTAGTATAAGTAATAATATATATGTAAAACAAACACAAAAATATTTACTTTTATCAGTTTTGTCGATAATGATTAAAAAAATAGCAAGTTATAAAAAAAATCAACAGAAATTTTTAAAAGAAAAAAATTATTGGTTATCTTTATGTTGTTGTTAAAGGATATGACAGTGACTATGACAGAAACATGCCAAAGTTGTAGTGGGAAAGTGTATCCGTTAGAAAAAATATCTATTCATGGAAATATTTACCATAAAAACTGCTTCAAGTGTATGGAGTGTTCGTGTGTTTTGCGGTAAGGAAATATAATTTTTTTAAGACTATTTAATGATGAAGAATATTTTTTGAACATCCTGTAATCAAATTCAATCGAATTTATTTTTGATTTCAATATAGACATTGAACAGAACACTAAATAAGCTTCATTCAGTGTCTCGAAATTAGTGGTTTCAATTAGCGTAAAAGTTTGTTCCTCTAATTTCAATGTAAGCATTCAGAACGTCAAAATTAGTGGAAGTAAAGCTTCATTGAGAAACTCGCAATTAGTGGAATAAATTAGTGGTTTCAATTACACTTTATACTTTTTAGTTTACGATCATTCACAATATCTAAAAAACACAATTAAAATTAATAGAATATCCTAGCAACAGCTTGGAGTAGTCAGTGGTATCCACAGAGAAAGCCTAATATTTAGCTTATGAAACAATCAACTTTTGATTTCTAACCACAATTTCCCTTGACGGAAGGTAATCAAAGGCCAAAATGACATTTCTCGTAAATTTTGAAGTATAATTAGTGGAAAAGTTAAAAGTTTGATAACTTTCTCTACTAATTGAAAATGTCTACCACTAATTTTGACGTTATGAATGCTTGAAATTACAGAAACAAACGTCTACGCTAATTGAAACCACTAATTTATTCCACTAATTGGTGGTCTAAAAATACCCAACCTAACCAACTAAAATTAACAGGATATTCTGTTAATTTTAGTATATTAAAGTATATTAGTATATCAAAGGCCAAAATGTAAATTTTGAAGTATAATTAGTGGAAAAGTTAAAAGTTTGATAACTTTCTCTACTAATTGAAAATGTCTACCACTAATTTTGACGTTATGAATGCTTGAAATTACAGGAACAAACGTCTACGCTAATTGAAACCACTAATTTATTCCACTAATTGGTGGTCTAAAAAAATACCCAACCTAACCAACTAAAATTAACAGGATATTCTGTTAATTTTAGTATATTAAAGTATATTAGTATATCAAAGGCCAAAATGTAAATTTTGAAGTATAATTAGTGGAAAAGTTAAAAGTTTGATAACTTTCTCTACTAATTGAAAATGTCTACCACTAATTTTGACGTTATGAATGCTTGAAATTACAGGAACAAACGTCTACGCTAATTGAAACCACTAATTTATTCCACTAATTGGTGGTCTAAAAAATACCCAACCTAACCAACTAAAATTAACAGGATATTCTGTTAATTTTAGTATATTAAAGTATATTAGTATATCAAAGGCCAAAATGTAAATTTTGAAGTATAATTAGTGGAAAAGTTAAAAGTTTGATAACTTTCTCTACTAATTGAAAATGTCTACCACTAATTTTGACGTTTTAAATGCTTGAAATTACAGGAACAAACTTCTACGGTAATTGCGACCACTAATTTATTCCACTAATTGGTGGTCAAAAAAAATACAACTAAAATTAATAGGATATTCTGTAAATTTTAGTATATTAAGTAATTTTCGTTATTCTTTAGTATTTTAGTAAATTTTTAAGTATAAAGTAGGGTTACCAACTTTCAAAATCAAGAATAGAGAACCAGAGGGTCAAAAAGGGACTGTCCTCTGGAATAGAGGACGGTTGGCAACCCTGGTATAAAGTCAGAGCCTCGAAATTAATGGAATAAATTAGTGGTTTCAATTACACTTTATACTTTTTAGTTTACGATCATTCACAATGTCTAAACCACACAATTAAAATTAATAGAATATCCTTAGAGCAACAGCTTGCGTTAGTCAGTTGTATCCATAAATAAAGCCTAATTTTAGCTTATAAAACAATCAACTTTTGATTTCTAACCACGATTTCCCTTGACGAACGATAATCAAAGGCCAAAATGACATTTCTCGCAAATTTTGAAATATAATTAGTGGAAAAGTTAAAAGTTTGATAACTTTCTCTACTAATTGAAAATGTCTACCACTAATTTTGACGTTTTAAATGCTTGAAATTACAGGAACAAACTTCTACAGTAATTGCGACCACTAATTTATTCCATTAATTGGTGGTCAAAAAAATACAACTAAAATTAATAGGATATTCTGTAAATTTTAGTATATTAAGAAATAATTTTCTTTATTCTTTAGTATTTTAGTAAATTTTTAAGTATAAAGTAGGGTTACCAACTTTGAAAATCAAAATAGAGAACCAGAGGGTTAAAAAAGGGACTGTCCTCTGGAATAGAGCAAGGTTGGCAACCCTGGTATAAAGCCAGAATCTCGAAATTAGTGGTTTCAATTATAAATCACAGCGTCTAAAAAATGTCTAACCACAAAATCTCTTGACGGATGATAATCAAAGGAAAATAATAGATTTTTTGATTGGTTTATTTTTGATTACAGAATGGATTCGTACTCATATAATCAAGGCCTTCTCTACTGCACCCCCCACTTTAAAAGACTTTTTATAACAAAAGGGAACTATGATTCTGCCTTCGGTCTGGATCAGCACAAAGAAAAATGGCAGAACAACGTAAACAATATGACTGTAGCGTAATACACTTTTATAAAACATATTTGTGATACACTTAATCCTAAACTATACTGCCCAAAAAATCAAATCGTTTAGTGTAAGCCATACTAAAAGGCTATAAAATATAAAATTTAAATAATACATTTTTTAAAGTGCCTAAAAATATTTTTTCAAAGAAATTAAAAACTCTTTATATGCATATTTTTGTACAATTTTATATAGGTAGGTATATACTTTATATATTTAGCTTGTTGCTTGTATTCGTTTTATAACGTATATTATTATGTTTTTAGAGTTAATGACAATATCGTAATAATCATGTTTTATGACCTAAGGTTTGACGAATTAAAAAAAGAACACCTATATTTATAAACTATTATATTTTTCATTACCAAGTGTATTTTTATTATATGTGATTTTTTTATAATAAAATAATTTTATAAGAAATTGGTAGCTTTTCTTAAATAGATTTTCTTCAAACAGCAGGTTTTTATTTATACAGGGTTAATTGATATGGGGGTATGGGAACGGTCGATTATTAAGTAAAATATACGAGGTACCGCAAAAAGTTAAATATAAAAGTTATAGGGTTTTTAAAGGTCTATTAGCGAGTAATAAACTTATGTATACAAGGTGGACCAGAAAGTCGTGGCACATCAAAGTTTAATTTTTTTAAATGGAACCCTAATCGCGATACACACAATGTACCTCACACCAACCGTTTTCGAGTTGTTGACTTTTGAAAAGATCACTTAACAATTCGATTTAATTAATTTCGATGTGTTCGGTTTCATTTAACGTTGCCAGTCTGTGGAAACTATGATACCTAATAATATTTGACATTAGTTTTCAAGTTAGCATTTATGGATGTATAAAATGATATTATATCAAGCCTGGAAATTACAAAATTTTCGTTTAACATTTTATAATCAGAACCTCATAATTCGGTTAGGTTAGGTTAGGTAATTTAGGTACATTATGTGTATGACGATTATTGCTTAAAATTGAAAAGAATTGGGAAATATGCAATAATATATATATATATATATATATATATATATATATATATATATATATACTATATATATATATATATATATATATATATATATATATATATATATATATATATATATATATATATAATTACATATTTCAATTCAAATGCGACAATGTAAAATAATGGAGGCTAGAAGGTTGATTTTAAAATAATAATCAAAAATTATGGGCCCAGTTTTTGAGATCTAAATGAAGTTTGAAAATCGCCGTTAGGGGCGCATGTGATCCGACAGATTGAGAAATACACAGCTTCTTATGGCAAGAATTACTATTTTGTTATAAATTATAGAGTTCAGTTAATATTTGGGCATATTTTTACCAGATATAGCTTTTAGAAACTTGTTTTTTCTAATTGAACAATGCGCGTGGCTAAAATTGTGAATACAAAACCTTAAATTTGAGTTTGAAAAGTTAGTTAGGATATATCAGATGCCGGTTTTAGATATTCTTTTCCTAAGTTGTTATTATAAAAATGTTTTATTTTGGGGTTCTATTTAGTGCATACACGGCCGAAGAAAAATATAAGCTGCTAAAGTAAATGTTTCCTTCAACGGGTGTACACAAAATATAGAAGTTCCAGCAACAAACGTATCACCAGTTCAACCTTTGATTTGATGTAAACAGTAATTGTTCCTTGATGAGAAATGTAAATTAAATAGTTTATGGTGTGATTGTGTTAGTGATTTATTAATAGTTTTTCATAAAAACATTTGAAATTGATATGTTTACATGCAGTTCAGTGTGATATCATTTTAATAAACATTAAAAACTTTCGTAACAAACTAGTAGTGGTTTTACCGCAATTGACAGAAACTGAATCACGAAAATTAAAAGTATTTTATCAGGAATAACTTCAATGGAAAGTGAAGATGAACACTACTGTTGCACCCTTTAATCAGTGTTATCACTGTTAATTTTAGCCACCTGCTAGTAGGTAAATTATTTTTATTTTATAACAAGGCCTCCTAAGTTATGTTACGCAGATGTTGATTTTAGGCTATATTCTCTATTAATTTGAATTTGAAATTAATTTGTACACTGATAGTATATAATTTGAATGTTTTTCTTAACATCTATCCATATTTTTTTAAATAAATAGTTATACCACTTACATTAGGACCTTTGAAAATGCTTGGGTTTCTTTCACCCCGTTCTTTATTTGCCTTTTTTTCACTGTAAGTCCCACTTATACAGCCAGGTACGAAGCAAGATCTATTATATAGGGTTTTTTTAATCACACTCATTGTTACATTGCTCATAGTTCAATAAAATAACTATAAATTTAAAAAAAACAGTAAAAACACAGTTAAATCGTATTCTAACAATGCAAATGATCAATCTAACCCACTTAGAGTGCCTCTGGTGTCAAACCGAGAAACTTGCTTTAAAGTAGGGACAGAAATTTCAAATATGCCCATTGTCGATTCGCCTCCTCTTTCTAGCCTCCATATGTAAAACCCTATAACTTTTATATTTAACTTTTTGCGGTACCTCGTATATTTTATCTAATAATCGACCGTTCTCATACATATCAGCGACCCTGTATAATATAGGTACTAAGGTTGATTTTAAAATAATAATCAAGAACTTTATATTTTTTTATTAATATAAAAAATACAAATAAAAATAGAACATCTCAAAATTTAAACCATAAAAATACAATTTTGTAGTAAAATTTCAAGAGATTTTTTTTCTTCTCAACTATACTTACTAAACACAATGCTATTTATTGATAAAAACTACTAACTAACTAGTCATTAAAACGTTTTACTTGACAAACAGAACGTTATGTGTGTACGAGCCTTAATATTAAACGTAACTAAACAAACACATTACTATCTTCTGTTTATTATATTAATGGAAAACCCATATATTTCTATATTTATTCCTATTTATTTTGAAATCACCGCAAATAAATAACCAATCAGACGCGGGCATGCGTTTTTCCCTTAATCAATAACCAACGGAAAAACAGCTGACATACGAAAAATATCCGAATCAAGAGAAGCCCACTCGATTTATTAAGACAAAAAGTCAAAAAGTAGCTAAAATTTTTATAAGCCGAGTAAATGTTAAATTGCCAAAATTTTCTTACAAATTTTGTGTCAAAGATATCTCTAGGATACGTTCATTTTTCTATAGGTAAGATATGTATGATTTTTTTCATGGTTTTCGAGAACAAATGTTTACAAATACAAGTACTTCCAGGTAGCTTAAAAGCTCTCGTTAGCTTAAACCAGCTAAATGCATTGGAATTAGCAAAAATAATATAATGGACTACATTAGAGAGTTTGATATACAATTAGAGAAAGAACACTACTATGCTGGGGAGAGTATATGCGGTACAGTTATCCTGGACACTGTAGAAAACTTTAAATTAAGAAGTAAGTCTTAATAATAAAATAATAAAAATAATTTTATTCTAATTTTCAAAAACAATTTTTCGATTTTTTTTAGCTATTAGAGTTATACTAAGAGGTAAAGCACACGCAGAATGGAAGGTATTGTTATCTGGAGATCGGAGAACTGTAAGTTATACTACTACTGACATTTTTGACAATAAAATATTAAAAAAATATATTTTCGAAGGTCAAAGAAGATCAGTACTTTGTCGATCAGCGTCAAACAATATGGGGGGAAAAGAATTTAGAGTCTACCATACCGATATTACCTAGGGGAGTTCATAAGTTTCCTTTCAAGTAAGTTCTTTATTTAAATCAACAATCATGTAATGCGCAGTCCATGAGACTCGTACTGCGCAGAACATTTAGGTTGCAGAATATTTTATTAGGCTTTATGTTTATTTATTCAAATTTTACGATACTTTCGTAGTTTTGGCTTATATAGTTCAACCAACAATGACTGAATGTTATATCGGGTTGATACAAACAGAGATACAATGAAATGTATACCTATAGATTCTTTTTTCTAGGTTTTCTCTTCCTGAGTCAAACCTACCCTGTTCTTTCGAGAGCAGACCCGGCCAGATCCGGTACTACTTCAAAGTTACCATAGATATACCGTATGCAAGTCCCCCACAGGGCATGAAGTACTTCACTGTTATAGGGCCTCATATAGACTGTATGGACGAACATTATTTGGTAAGCATAAGTACCAGAATAAATCAACTTTTATCAAACATTAATTCAATACTAATTAATGAAGTTATGTCCCCCCTTCTTGAGTTATAACTCATCATACAGTCTCAGGGCTTTGAAAAAAAACAGCATCTGAGACAGTTTTACAGAGGCTAGTTCTCCATCTCTGAATCGAAATTACAGACAATAAACAATCGTCACTGTGATAGAAACTTTCGCTGGACAAACTATAGTTCTTCTCTATCTTTCAGAAACCAGCTATACTGGAAAGTAAGAGATCTACGTGTTGTTGGTGTTGCAAAAAGGGTACAGTCTCTCTAAGGTGTGTCCTTGAACGGTCTGCATACGTTTGCAGGGAAAGTATCAAACTAAAGGCTACCATTGACAATCAGGGGGAAGAAGAAGTAAAACTACGAGTTAGGTGCGTTTCTCAATTATCTATAACCCTAGTAAGTAAAATTAATGGATAATGAAACGGTGAAATGTTTTAGGTTAGAGCAAATATGCGAGTACTTTATAGATAGGGGCGTATTGGGAGCTTCAAAGGACCAAAAGCAAGTAGTTTTTGAATATAGGTAAGCCAGAAAAGTATTTCGATATAGAAATCTTTGATTGAAAGAATTGGGAAGAAATGCAACCTAATGGGTGACAAGGCTAATTTGATTTTCCCTTGCGTCTCATGTGCCGTACGGTGGAGACACCAATCGTTCTGCGGTCAACGCATAAAACACTTATTTTCTCTAATTCGGCCAGCGAAGGAATATCCAATGTTGCCATATTAAAATGTGTAATATCTGTAATACGTTTGACGAAAATATTTTGATGAAAAATCCGCGTTTATGTATTGAAAATTTATTCGTGTTAAACATAGAATAAACAACAAAAATAAAAATTCTTTTATAGGTACTGAATATGTCGTATGATCGAGAAAAGTTGTTTGGTTGGCTTGGAAATGACGAATTATTGACATTTACCATAATATTTTACATATGAAATAACATACAGCGATCTTGATTTTCAAGCCAACTTTGACGCCGTTATTTGTTTAATTATATAATATTATATTAAATTGTTTAATGATAGAAAATCCGTATTATTAATGTATACCCAAAATCTGTAAATCTACGGATTAATTAGTAGTTCTGGCAACGTTCTCCGGCTACCACTCACTCTGTCGACTGAAAGCAGAACTACAGGACAGTATTCTTTATCCGCTGCGCTGTAAACAACTTTCAGCGCGCAGCGGCGCAGTGGTAAACTAAATCTCATACATTTTGTGCCACAAAATTGCCCATAAGGTTGCGCATCTTATTTCTTCATTCAACGATAGCAATATAAATAACTTCGACTTATATGAGGGTGAGTCTTAATTAAGTAGTATATTTCGACCCCAAAAACAGGATCATGAGGTTTTTCTCGCGATTTTTTTCTAAATTTGGATTTTTTTTAAATAAATTGATTTTTTTTTGTTTTTAGTTAAAAATCATAATTTCTTGATAATATGGCAACGTCGTACATTAAATTTACAAGAAAGAAAATCCAAAAAAGATATCCAGTGGTTCTCAAAATTTTAGCAAAAAATTGGTTATTTTGGAATTATTTGAAAAACGGTAAAGAGAAAATATGTTTCTTTTATCGAAATCTACCAGCCTTAAAAATATTTACACTTATTTAACACTCACCCTGTAGAGATTACATAGTCAGGTTGTAAAAACCAAATTACTTACAGAAACTTATTCTAATTTTTGCTGTATTTTTAATCCTATAAATTTAAAAAATATATATATTTTAGAGGAAATCCTGTTAAAGCTCAGAAAAGAATTAAATGGGACAGTAGCAACGTGCTAGTGATTCCTCCTGTGCCAACCACTCTAATAGGAATTTGTCGACTGATTCAGATATACTACGTATTAACGGTAGGTGGATAATTTTCTATTCTATAGCCTGCGAGAAAGACAGAAAAAAGTGAGAGAAATAGAGAAAATGAGGGAGAAAAAGGCTGAGAGAGAGAGAGCCGCTAAAAAAATCTGAGTACTACATGTAACATTTTCTATATCCAGGTAAGCCTGGACACTTTGAAAGAACCAGATTTAGTAACTGTCAGTTTACCAGTTACCATTGGTACTGTTCCTTTTAGAATACCAAATAGCGATAAGAATCCAGTTATAAAATATGGTAAGTACATGATATATAAATTTCCTAATTATCTATAAAACGATTACAGTTGGGAGTTGGAACCTTTGGTGTTACACAGCAAAATAAAACAATAGCAGATGATCAAGACTCTTTTTTGAGACTTGATCATCTGCTGGTGATGCTAACATGGTTAGAGAAACGCGCGTCTATTGTAAAAATAAAAGTGTTTTCGTGTATTGTGGTGATTTAGTGTTTTATTTTGCTATCTATAAAACACTTATATTTTGTTATATACTTATACCGATCTGGTCATTAAAACTGCGTGGTCTGGATTTTAACGTGTAAAGCTTGATTTTCATGCATCCGTTGTCCGACGATACGATGATACGATATTAATTTTATTGGTTGAATTTAAAAGCTTGATTTTCATGCATTCTTTATCCGACGATACGATAATACGATATTAATTTGATTGGTTGAATTAAAAGACTTCGATTGGTTAGAAACGGTTAACCAATCGAAGCATTTAAATTCAACCAATAAAATTAATATCGTATCATCGTATCGTCGGACAACCGATGCATGAAAATCAAACTAAAGACTTCGATTCGTTAGAAAATTACGCAGTTTTTAAATTTATTGAATTTTCGTGCCTCCGTTCATCGGATGCGTTCACTACTGCGCATCACAAATTCGCCCTGTATTTCAGAAACTAAGGAGGTTAGGACAAACCTATTTGTAGCATATTTAGTTTCAGAAAAAAATAGCAAAGTAATTTGAAAATCGCATCATTGTGTTTCTACTCATAAAGGAGAAATTCTATAAAACACACGAAAATGGGATACCCTGTACAGATGTGATGCGCAGTAGTGAACAGCAGTAGTCTACCGGCAGCCAGACGGCCCGCACTTTGGTCAGGAGAGCACATGAGAGCATAGCAAAGGATACATTAAAGAACCAGCTTTCTTAAAATTCTCGTTTTCCTGACGGTGCTAGCTCTTGTACTATTATATTTTTATTAAGATTAGATTAAATTTGTCAAAAAAGTTGTCAAACCGTCCGTTATCGTACGATCTTTTTCCGTTGACGGGCTGGAGTAAAAAATTTACGGATGAAAAGTGGCGCGAAAACGCTATGACCAATCAGAGCATCGTTGGACCTTAGTATCAACGGATAACGGATACGTGTAAATCAAGCTTAAGACAGTGATGTAGACAGCTTAATGAAAAATCAAATGTATTAAAAAGAGATAACAGTTGGGTTGATATATTTATTCTATGCGGTATTGCCGGATTTTGGACGGCGTTTACGAAAAATGTTGCATCTAGGGTTGGAACTTTATTTTTCACAATTAGTTACTCATTTTACTATTATAGCTGTAATTGGATTATATTTAGCTTAGATATATTATCTTCATTTCAGTAGTTTACGTTTCCCTACAAACGTAAAAACTGGCAACACTGTATGCCGTTTTTATTATTTTGTCTCTCTGTCTGTCAACCGGTCATTTATATTTATCCCTGTCGCATGCATTAAAATACAGACCACGCAAATGAATTGTCCAGGATGGTATAGTCTGTCCAACTGTCATTTTAACTCACAGCTAAATAGTATTTTCTGTCTTTTTTTTGGATCAGTCTTCTGTCGAAATCTTCCTTGATTCGTTGGACAGATTTTAGTAGTAGCTTTATATTTAGAACTTAGTATTATGACTTTTAGATATTATTTTTTTTTAATTTAATATTTTATTAGAACATGCGTGTTCTCATGTGGAGGGAGGTCAATATTTGGCACCCGATTTTTTGCTGGGTCAAGTATATGATGGAAATGAACATTATTTAAGGTATAGCAAGATCAGTAATGAATGTTTAGTTTGTATATTACTAAAATTGATAACTATTGAATATTTCAGGGAACCTATAGTTTTGTATAAACCAGTTTATGTCACAGTAGACAAATCGGACGAAAAATGAGAATATCAAGGCAATAATAATCCAGATCTACAGGGTATTTCAACTCAATTTTAGTTAATCTACGTCTAATTACGTAAGTTATTCAAGACTGAGTACTATAAATCGTTACATTCATTTTCTTTACCTACAACAAATCATATTAAAAATTATTATTGTGATATACCATATGATCGAAAAAAAAACGCGTCAAAGAGGACTGGAGGATAATTTTGCCGAGGTCAATCTATGGACGTCACACTACTAAAAATTGACCACCATGATTATAGAAAAACACTGACCAAGCACTGATTATAGAAAGATTAAAAAAAAGAACGTTTCCCCAGATAAATAAATCTATTTCCGAAAAAATATTTTTTCTCGACAAAAAAATAAATTACAACCTTCTTAAGGCCAAGAAAATGACGTATAGGGCTTGACCACGCCAAAATTATCATCGATCATCGTTCCCCAGCCGTCTGTGACGCCAGTTTTTTTCGATCGTACGGTATTTTAATTTATTTTACAAAACAGATTGTTTAAACATGCTTATAGCATGTTACTTTGATTGAAAAGTTAGTACCTATAATTGCAAATTATTTTACTATAGTTTATGTCATTTCTAAGGATTAACCGATTGTCTTATGAACTATGAAGTACCGCAACGTCTATAGCAATTATCGTGTGTCAAATAAATAAATACTAACTTTTGATGTAAAATTTTGTTGTATTAAAATTGTAAAATATGACGTTATTATTTTATTGTTTTACTCTGTGAACCAAAAACTATTTTTTTAATAAGAAATTTGGACAAACAGAAGTATGTTAGTATTGTTTTGGTTCACAGTGTATACATGTAGGTACAACGCAGATAGTTCTTGTGTTATACGAAAAAAAAACATCACTCATATGCATGTAAAACGTCAGAAACGCCATTTTTTATTGAAATAAGAATTTTGTGAAAGTGAATACTTTGATTGTATTTTTATATTTGCAATATCAGCAATATTAAATTATTTTTTCTGACGTTTTAAAATATTTTAGGAATTGTTAAGTCCAAATAAGTAAATATATATATCCGATACCAAGTAAACTTTTAGTTACGTAATCCAGGGCGCGATTTTTAAATTTATGCCAACCCTGGACATATTCGGCGCCGGGCTGACTAACTGGAATTTAAATTTCCCGCTGGGGATTCAGGTGGTAGCTCTGCTGTAAAAAATGTCAAGTTGCCACATTTATTTCATTTCCTGACATTGTTGTTCGTTTTGACACTTTAGTTTTGTATTACGAGTTTTTGGTTGACTTTAAGCTTAAAAATCTTTACTAGCAGACCTCGCAGTGTTCTTTTTAGAACCTCTTTTAGTGCGAAGGGTACAAGATAGCTTAATAGCCGTAAAAAACTTTATTAGGATATTTTGAACGGGAAAGCGGTAGTAATGGCCCTTTATGTCCCTTAAGTGCTGTTAAGAAGGTGAGTTTTGTTTATGTAAATAATAGCTGTTTATATATTTATAATAATTTTTTTTTTGTTTCCTAAAATATTTTGATTAAAGGAAAATACGTAAAACTGGGCAACGCTGTGCCGGTCAAGCTTAATCACGTGACTAAAAGTTTATTTGATATGAACTATAGTCTTCTATTTGAAATAATGTAGACTGAATATTCCTTTTATAAAAATATAAAACTATATATAGATAGAAAATTACAACACACAGTACATAGAAAAATTTACCAGACTTTAATATTTTTTAATCGTTTTAACGTAGAATAGGTATTATAGAGTATATAAGCACAAATAAAAATACCATGAAGCATATTTAACATAAATAATAAATATAAATGTTAGATAAAAATAAATATAATAATAATAAAAGTTACAGTAAGTAAATGTTAATATAGACTTTAAACATATAATATTTAAAATAAATAAAAGTTAATTAATATATCGAATTAAAAAAGAAGGTAATAAATAATTTAAGTAAATATTTTTTTTGTAAACAATTAAACAAATTTTTAAAAAGTCATAGACAAAATGGAATGGCTTCCCTGTTGATGTGATAATATTAATTTTATATACACAGTTGCATGTTATTTTACGTGTAGACATAGATAATAACAAAGTATCTTACATGTACGCTTAATATTTTAAGGTAAAATTTGAATAACTATATCTCTGGGGGTAATATTAAAAGGATTATACAATACGTTTCACTAAAGATTTGCTATTTAAGGTCGATATTATTTAAAAAATTAAAATATTACAGGCAAATTACAAATAATGTAACATTCGCCTTTCATATTAAAATGTACTAAATTTCGTACAAAATTTTAGGTAGTAACATCCCTTGTGTTAACTGTTAACGATTCAATGTTTTTTTTTATTTACGAGAGGGTAGAGGTACCTCTATCCTACATAATTGAAGGTACATATTGATCTTAATAGACATTCCTTGTGAAATGGATTGTAAACGTATTAATTTAATATTTAGAAGTAATAGTTAATGTATAGTTATCATTCATCGTCTCTATATATTAAAATGTTCAAAAATTATTAATACACAATTCACACCTTTTTGTTAATTTGGTATTCTTGTTAATTTCGGTTACCAATAAATTTACTATAGTTTATAGACAGTATTATACCGTATGATCGAAAAAAAAACGGTGTCAAAGACGGCTGGGGAACGATAATCGATGATAATTTTGGCGAGGTCAATCTCTAAACGTCATTGACGCAGTTTTTCAATGATTCGGTATTTTTTATGCAAAAACAAAGAAAATGTTTAAAGAAAAAATCTTTATACACATAATTATTTGTAATAACTTGTTAAAAGTTGTGAAAACATTGAACAACATAAGTATAAAGTTTGGAGATTCCTATATATTTTTTTAAGCGTTTTTTTTTAATTTCTGACTAATTTTGACATGAAAAAATATTCAATACAGTTATATTTACAAAAATAAATAAGTAGCACAACGTAGGAATAACGAAAATATAATATTTAGTATAAATATACATTTATTGTTATTGTTAAAACTAATATAATTTTAATAAATGGTTGTGTAAAAATGTGTATTATTTAATTTTTAGCTTAATTTATTACGTAGATAAGATATTTAATTTTGTTAAAAGCGTTATTGCTAATAACGAATATAAAATAAAAAGTGATCTAGTTTATTACACGTCGAAACCCTTTTTTACGTTAGTTTTTTACAAGCCTCTCCCTAGATATTCCTGACCAAATATCGATATTTTCCAAAATTTCGATACACTTTCCCCAACTCTAATTTTGACATTTAGGCACGTGTAGTGATCTTAACCTAAGATTTTTAAATGGATTTTTATTATTAATACAAATGATAATAAAATCATATTGTTCTTGAAGAAAATTACAATAATTAGCCAGAAATGTAAGTACAATTGTATAAAAATTATATATACAAGGCTTTTGTTATATGCGTAAAGATATATGCTTTAAAAACGATTTTATTATAGACAAAACTGAAAAATGGGCCGATTCAGAAGCAAACTAAAAGGGCAAACGAAAGGGAAAAGATGGGCCAAAGGGCAGAGCTCTAGTTCAAATCCAGAGACGAAGAAATACAGAGATCAAGCTAAAAGTAGGTTTTTCCAGGTAAATCTGGGACCAAGCTCTCTAACTACTGATACTTTGAAAAAACACGATGCACTGCAAATGTTTAATAGTGTGAAAAGTACACAAATGGACATTGAACCTACTGAAGATGGATCTGAAAGTAGTTTGGGATCATATAGCTCGTACCAATCCATGCAATCCTTTGCATCGGAGTGGTCGGATTGTAGCAACATGTCTTATAACAAATTTATGAAGACTTTCCATGCGGATTCAGCGTTACACAAGCAAATGCTTGCTATTCTTGCTGCCATAACTGAGGTAATTAAACAAAACGGTGGATCAGAAACATCCACGGAGTATTACTGTTCACTTCTCACTACTTTGGAGACAATTTATAACAACGAAGAAAGAACAGAAGAACAAATAACAGCAGTTCTGGCTCTTTTAAATATTGGAATCAAAACAGTGCCTGATGCAGTGCTTAGGAAACATTTCAACGATATCACACTCAAACTGTTGCTCATATTAAAAGACTTTTCAACAGCAGAGAACAACGTTATTATAAAATCAACCCTAGGAATCTTAACAACAGTTTTAAGGGCTCAAGAAGCGGCAATATGGAGTCACGACACGACCAAACAAATTTTTAACGCTATACTAAATCCTTTTTGTATTCATTCGAAACCTAAATGGCGGAAAGCAGCCCAAAATGCTGTAGCAGGCATTGTTAAAGCACCATGCTTTTTAAACAACCAGGTTCATAATGTTCCAGCTGACAAATGTGCAGAGTTTTGTCAAGATATTTTGGGTAGTTCCAGCAAAAAATCTATTCAAGCTGGGCAAACTACCATCCTGCATACTCTAGGATTATTGAAAGAAACTATACAAAGTTTTAGTAAAGTACATATAAAAAAATCCTGTGAAACTATATTGAGACTAATGACTTTAAATTATCCTATTGTTACATCCTGTGGTCTTCAAGTGATGCACTCACTGTTCTCTTCACAACAAGCTGTGATTTCTGGTGATTTAAATGGTAAATTAATCGCAGCTTTGTATGAATATCAACCAGGGAGCACTGAATATACAACCTACATTGGCTTGGTTACTGGTAATGCAAGAAGCTCATGTTCATCTAGCTGATATAGATATTTCAATCGCTATGAGTTTACTGACTAAATTTTTTACTACTGTTTCTGAACTGTGGTTAACTGGAAAAAGTGATGTAATTAGTGCAGCAACACATTGTCTTGAGGTAGATACATTAAAATCTTAGTTAGATAGATTCAGAATTACACAGTAATTATTTTTATAGGTCCTTTTAAAAGATATTGTTGGACCAGCAACAGAAACTACAGATTCCGTTCAAAAACATTTTTCAAAATTAGAGAAGTGTTTTAATATTATCCATTCGTGCCTTAATTATCAATACAATAATACATGGAGTCAAGTATTGCATATTATTGGAGTTATGTTCGATGTAGCGGGGGCAAATTGTTCAAATATGTTTGTGGATGCATTGAAGACATTAGCTGAGTTAAGGGATTCCTTCAAGTTTAGGTAAATATTTTAAATTAATTAATTTTTAATATACACACTCTGTAACATTAAGAAAAAAATTATAAATAACAGAAAAAAGAGTATTAGTGCCAACATAAAAAAAACTTTGGACTTGTTGATTATGTTTCAAGCAGTTTTTCAAGTTGTATTTTACTTGTATAAATTGATCCAAAATGAAAATTATTGGGTATTTTAGGAGTTATTTCATTTAGTTGGGAATAAATTTAAGAAAAAATCAGATATTTATAAGCTGCTATATAATGGCGCATTCTCACGACTCGTGAACTTGACAAACATTTGTAATTGGTATACAGGGTATATATGGTGCGTCAGGCATTTTTTATTTTATATATATTTTTTTTCCTAAACAAAAATTTAAAAAATATATAAAATAATAAAAAAATGGTTCTAGTAAACTTTAGGTACCTCGGAATTTCACACTTTTCTTTGTTTTCTTAGAAAGATTACTGTAAATAGAGCATATTAAGACAAAAAATTTGTTGGATCATACAGTTTTTTTTTGAGCATTTGGTTTTTATATTTTAATAATTAACTGTGATATTGCAAAAATATTATTAGATTGGTTAGGATTTGGGTTGTTTGGTTAGCTTTTCTTTGTGGAGGGTGTTAAGCTGTGGTTTTTTTATTTTATTAATTTACTGTGATAAGATTGGTTAGCATTTTAGACACTTTTAAATGATTTTTTTTGGTTCAAAAGTGCTTCATCCAAGAATTTTTTTCTTTTAAACTGTTCTATAGCAATAGAGCTTTCGACTAAAAAAATAAAAATTGCGAAATTCTGAGGTACTTAATGTTTACCAGATCCAAAAAAATTATAGTAAATTTATATCAATTTAATTGTTACAGTTATAACAGCGAACTAGAGTACGCAGTAGGCGCTGCAATACGTTCAATGGGCCCTGAAAAAGTCCTAAATATCATCTCATTAAAAAAAGAAAACGGCGACCTTAACATCGACCGTTCCTGGTTACTCCCGGTTTTAAAAGAAAACATCAAATGCTCCACCTTAAAGTACTTCAGAGAGGGCATCTTCCCTCTGGCGAGGTACTGCCAGCAAAGATCCACACAGTTAGCTCAAGCAAACGACGGTATTGGCGCGCACAGCAGCGAACTTTTATATCTACAACTATGGAACTTACTACCATGTTTCTGTAATAGTCCGACAGATATAAAGGACGAATTCAAAACACTGGCTAAAATGCTAGGTTTGGCTATATCAGAGAGGAAGGAACTCAGATTATCGGTTATGGCTTCTTTGAGAAAACTTATTCAAAGCGCTAAAGACAGTAACAACGAAGAGGATCTTTCTGAGATAGCAAGATTCGATAAAAACTATCTCCCGATCTTATTTAACGTTTACACGACAAAACCAATCGGTACAGACGAAGAAGGACAACGACTAGCTTCCCTAGAAACGATCAAACTATACCTAACACTAGCCAGACCAGAACTAACCTCACAACTCTTCAAAAACGCCGTGGAACGACTCAACACCTCCACGGACGAACCAGAAGACCATTTTATCAGAGAATCAATCCTGGACCTAATAAGAGCACTCATACCTTACCAAAACATCCAGGGAATCAGTACAGTCTACGATCAGTGCGTTAAAAGCTTGCCAGACATAAAAAACAACAAGGAACAGAAAAAGGCTTACAGGATCTTAGAAGAGATTGTCTCGAGTGAGTCTGAAGGATGTAAAAAGTTTGTGAAGAGTCACAAAAAAGAGGTTCAAAAAGTGTTAAGGAAGAGTCTAAATACTTCCGCAACTTCAAGCAAAGGGGCTAGATTGAGGTGTTATAATTACCTTATTAAGGCTCAGCCTAAGTTGGATCATGAAAGTAAACTGATTAGGTTGGTTCTGCCTGAGGCTGTGATGTGTTGCAAGGATATTAACGAGAAATGCAGGGAAACAGCCTATGGGGTTATAAACACAATAGGAGAAACGTTATTGACTCACAATCAAATGGAGAATTTTGTGGTTATGTTGATCAGTGGGCTAGCTGGAACACCCCAAATGGTTTCATCGACGATCCTAGCACTTGCTTCAGCTTTACACAACTTTTCTGGAGCTCTAGGACAAGAAAACATAAAACTAATCCTGGATAATATCGTTATACTGTCTTCATCACCTACCAGGGAAATAGTCTCGTCATGTTTGAGTTTTTTAAAGGTTTACTACACGGCTTTACCCTCTTTGATGGTGCAGGCTTCTCTAGAAAGTATCATGAAGATCCTTACCGGAATGACAGAAGATTGCAAACGTCATTACAGGTTAAAAGTCCGAGATATACTGGACAGGTTAATCAGGAAGTATGGTTCAGAGAATATACTACCTTATGTACCTTCTGACGATCAAGTGATGCACAAAAGGATCAGGAATTTGAGGAAATTGAACGAGAGAAAGAAGAAACTGAAGAACGAAAGGAAGAATATGGATAGTGATGAAGATATTGGTGATTTCGGAGGGAAATCTAAACCAAAAACCGTGGAAGAGATTTTGGCCGACAGCGATTCCGAGCTCGACATTCAAGAACCGGAAAGTAATAAAATTCCCAAAAAGAAGAGACAGAGTAATACGTGGATTGAAGAAGACCCGGAAAGCATTGTTGATTTTATCGATCCAACTGTTTCCAGTAAAATTAGCGCTACTAAACCTAGTCAAAATCCGAGTCAGTTACAGTTATCTCAAAAGAATACAGAAAAGACGAAAAATAGAGGTTTCAAAACAGCTCCGGATGGAAGACTTATCATCAAAGACCAAGAGGATTCTAGCGATGATGACACCAGAAAAAAGAAATCGGATAAAATCAATTTAAAGTCCGAGGATTCTTCAGATAGTGATGATGAAGAAGGGGCTAGTGTTGCCGAAACTTTGTTGCTGTCTGATCGAAAAAGAAAACGATCTGGGTCAGTTAAAAGTAAATTCAGCAGTGTATCTAGCCAGCCATTACCAAAATACAAGGCTGGTGGAATTGGGATACATCGACAAATATCTTCTGCTTCGTCTGTGAAGAGTGGAGTGTCATCATCTTCCAGAGGTTTTGGGGAGGAGTACAAGAGTAAAAAAGCCGCGGGGGATGTGAAGAAGAAAGGGAAGAAATTGGACCCTTACGCTTATGTACCGCTGCAAAGAAGTACTTTGAATAAGAGGAAGAAGAATAAAGGATTAGGCCAGTTGAAGAGTATAGTTAAAGGTGCCAAAAGTGGAGCACTTAAAGGGGCTAAAGCTAAACGAAATAGGAAGTCTTCTGTTTAGAAAAATTAAACCTGTTTGTTGTGATAATTCTAGAAGTATTTATAAAACCTAATAATTTAAAATAAAGTTTTTCCAAAAATATATATGTATACACCGTTTTTTATTTAACTACCTTTATTATATCAAAAAAAATCGATTTTTTTGCTATTTATATATTTAAGGTTAATTTGGTTAACGTTTATATGAGAGATTAATAATGATAATTATTATTTGAAACAGTAATTTTATGGATTTTGGATTTAAATTACAAAAAAAAATCTATATATGTGTAAAAAAATAGATTTTTTTACATAACATAATAATATACTGTAGAATATGGTTCTGAATGTGTTCTTTTTTGTTGTAATCTTAAAGAGTTTTGAAAAAAAAATACAAATAAAATATACTCTTGCTTTATTGGTATACATAATCTATAAAAATAATTATAGTTCTTAATAAAGGATGTGATTAAAAATGAGCAATTATTTTCTCAACTTACTGTATATTTTCTGTGATGACAGACTCTGTAATAGTCTGTAACTTTTGTGCCCATCCACTATCACAAGTTCGGTGCTTAAACCTTCAACGGCAACCATTTTTAATTGATTTTTGTCTGTTTTAAGGTTTAACCTTTTCAGAAATATTATCTAAAATAAAAATATATACAGTGGTGGCCAAAAGTATGGAAACTTTTTTAATTTGTCATTTATGCTGGGAAATTAAAATATGAAATAAAACGACTTATATAATCGTGACCTACAAATAATTTCCTACAAAACCTAATACATTTAAAAGAAATTACAGCTATCAAAAAATATATAAAAAATTATGAATATTTTCTTGGTCAAAAGTATGGAAACTTAAGAAGAATGTTTATTAAAATTCAAGATAATATAAAAATTACTAATATTTAGTGGAATATCCCTTTGAATTAATTACTTCTCTACATCTTCGTGGCATCGAATCGATCAATCTCGTACAATCTTTACTGGAAATGGCCGCCCATTCAGTTTTAGCACTTCCCATAATTCATTTTATTTGAAATAGAATGGCTTCGAATTTTGCTATCCAAATGGTCCCATACATTTTCTATGGGGTTAAGATCCGGAGACTGTGAGGGCCAATCCATTAGTGGAACATTATGTTCATTTAACCAATTTTGAACAAACCGAGATTTGTGCTTGGGATCATTGTCTTGCTGGAACAACCATCTGAGTGGCATTTCTTCATCAGAATGAGGCAGCATATTATTCTCCAATATGTCTTTGTACAAAAAACGATCCATTATCCCATCAATTTTAACAAGAGGACCAACACCTGAGCGAGAAAAACACCCCCATACCATTATACTCCCACCCCCATGTTTTACTGTAGGCATCTGGTACTTATGGCTGCACCGTGTACCTTTTGGTCTTCGGACATAACGTCTCCCGTTACTACCAAACAGTTGAAACTTGCTTTCGTCGCTAAACAGTACAATATTCCATTTCTGATAAGACCAGGTGAGATGATCTTGAGCAAATTTAAAGCGGGCCATCCTATTTTTCTTTGATATTAGTGGTTTCTTCACCGCAACTCTTCCAAAAAGTCCCATGCCATTCTTCTCACCGTGCGTGCAGACACCGATATTCCCCTTTCACCCATTTCTCGAGAAATGTCTGTGGATGTTTTTCTTGGATCTCCCATTGATATTCTCTTCATTACTTTCATTGTCCTGTTGCACAACTTTCTTGGTATTCCTGACTTAAAAGCTGTTGAAACGTTACCTGTTTTATTAAATTTACGAATTATTTTCGAAACGGTGCCTTTTAAAATGTTTAAATTTTTTCTTATTTGAATTTGTTTATAACCGCTCTTGTATAATTCAACTATTTTATTTTGTAAATCCGTAGAGAAATATTTAGACTTGGGCATGATGTTTATATTTATCTGAAGCAAATCGTACCGTTTTCAGCTTAAACTAAATAATTTTAATGTATTTATTTATGGTTTCCATACTTTTGGCCACAAGAAATCTATTGTTCTCCTACAAAAACTGCTAAACAGATTTTTTTCGCTGTGTAATTTTTGGAATACTTTTATTTGCTGATAAGCTGTTCATTTATATTCCTGAGAGTTTAAGCATAGCCATATTTTCTATGATATTTTAAAAAGTAAAAAGTTTCCATACTTTTGGCCACCACTGTATGTTACTAAGTAAAATACAGAGAAAACAAGATAAGTTAACAATATGCTTACTTATTTTTTGTAAATCTAACGCTTCACTGCTGCCCCCTATCTTCAAATTCTTACAAGAAGGAACGTCTACAGTTATAGTTTAATCTGAAACAATACAACATTAGTTCTCTTTATTAGTTCAATATATAATTATATTAGAGAGTCTTATGAATAGGTTATTACACCTTGGTAGAAAAAATAATATAAAATATGTACTCACCATAGCTGTTCTTCAAAATAACTTGGCATCAGCTACTACTACCGTATGATCGAAAAAAAAACGGCGTCAGCGATGGCTATGAAATGAAGATCGCTGTCATTTTATATGGAAAATGTCATCGATCGTCATTTCCCAGCCAACTGGACGCCGTTTTTTTCGATCATACGGTATAAGTTCTTAAAATTTTCTCTTGTACATTTTTCCATGCTCATATTTATTTGTTTTTTATTGTCCAATATTTTCTTGACTGTATAGTAAAGGAACATACAATTGGATTCAGATTTTCGAGAAATGTTCCTTTGGCGTTTGATATAGAAAGGAAAAAAAGTATTAGTATTAATATAGTGACGATAAAAATACAAATATAACTACGAGTATACCTAAACTAGAATTTTGCCCTATAACAAATATGGTTTATCAAAATTAATCACAATTTTATCTCATATTTATACGTTTTTTTTTCATCATAATTTCTTACGTAGATATCTAATATATTTTATTTGTACACTTCAGTTTCGATGCACATGACTTTATCTAAAAAATAAGAAAAAACCTAGTTAAAAATCTAGAAAAATATAAAGCTATAAGAAAATGCTTTCTTACCTGTAGTCATCAACCTGATCATAATTTTCAGCTTATTCAACAAACATTACGGTGTAGTCTCCCTCACATATTTAGATAATCTCTTTGTAGTTGGACCCATTGTTATCTATTGTTGGCTATGCATAGGTTATGACTGGTAGTACACATTGGTCGAATGTTTTCTTGTTTAGATAAAGTGGCATTCTAGATTTCAATATGACTGAGTTTCTTCCATAAGTACTCCATGCTAACTTAATTCTTTTGTTGATTTCTCATTGTAGAGATCCCGAGCTGTATATTAGCTGTCCCAAATATATATATTCTTCTACTATTTCCAGTATTGTGTTATTTTTTAGAATGTCTTTTCTGTCTACTAGTCCGTTGTACATTAGTTTTTGCGAAATGCATTTTGGGACCCACTTTATTGCTGGTTGTATTTAGTTCATTAATTTGGGCTTTAGGACTATTGGCAATTAGGACTATGTCATCAGCGACTCTTAGATGGCTAGATATTCTCCATCTATTTTTAATCCTTTGTTGATCCAGTCCAGTCGACGGAAGATTTCTTCTAGTGTTGCTACAAACATCTTTGGAGATATGCTTCCCCCTGTCTTACCTGTAGTATATTTATATACTATATTTTTTATTCACACTTAATTGGCATCCCGTGTCTGTCTGATACCTTCAGAGCACTCATCACTACCCCCTCAAAAATTCAACATATAGCGCCCTGCAAAAAAAGATATGCAAAAACCAATCCACAATACCTACAGTGCAGCTCTTACAGAGAACGTTAGTCCCTGTAGAGCTTGGAGCTGAAAAAATTCACTGAACAATGTGAACCTGTAAGACACTCAGATAACCCGACAAAAATCTTCCAAAGATATCTACTCAAAATGACTTACTGAAATCCTTGGAAGCTCTTACAAAGACTGATAGAACTAGAGCATATTTACTTAATGCTGTAAGAAAATATAGGAGCAACATAAAACGATAATCAGATACATAGATATTATGTACACTTCAATTTGGCTTCGATATGACTCTCTATCCTGATGTATACAGCTTCAAACGCAGTAGAACTTCAACCCATTTGAACCTATGAAACACAAGAACCCTACAAAAATATTTTGCAAATATCGGCTCGAACTGGCTGCTGTGGTTCCCTGTAAGGCTCATACCAATACCTGTAAAAAATAGTAACAAAAAAAGACCACCATATACATAGAGAACCTCTAAAACACAAGAACCCTAAAAAATATTCTGCAGACATCGGCTGAAACTGGCATGTGTGGTTGTCTAATAATACCTGTAAAAAATAGTAACAAAAAAAGACCACCAGATACATAGAAATTATGTAGACCTCAATTTGGCTTCGACATGACTCTGACCTGTCGTATACAGCTTCAAACAAAGTATATCTTCAACCAGCGTGAACCTATGAGACAGAAAAACCCTACATAAATCATCTGAAGATGTCGACACAAACTGGAGGCTCATAGAGGCTATCAGTCTTTGTAGAGCACCAAGTCCTACTCTTGTAAGAAAATAAACCAGATTTAGATATGACCCTGTTAAGTTTTGGACCTCAAGAATTGAAACTTGAACTAATGATGACTTGGAAGTCGTAAAAATTTCTACTGCACTACTAAAAAATTAGATTCCTCTTTTCTAGACCCTAGAATTATGCCTGAACTTGAATCGAAAATATAAAAATAGATTTAGAAGGTTGAGAGTATTTGTATTAAAAATTTAGTTACTAAAATGCTAGATCGACATGCGTCTACTCTAAAATAGTAATAATTAAAAAAAAGTGAGTTAAAAATAAAAATTAAGAAATTAAAGAAAGTTACCTACACCTACACATTTAATTTAAGAAATTAAAAATAAATGTTAGACATTTTCCTAGATTTCAATTTAGCATAGATAATATGAAGAAAGCTATAAGAACCACAAATACATTTTTAAAAGAATAATTACTTCTTCTAGACTCATTAAAAAGACCTATAGACATATCAACCCAATGGACCTCTTCTGCTTTCGAGAGGAAAGCTGTTCTTTGCTTCTGTGAGGAGACTCTACAGAGGACGTTAGCCCCCGCGGAACTCAACCCAACGTGCTTCTGTGAGGACACTCATACAGGGGACTTTAGCCCCGGTAGAGGTCGACTCAACACTCTGCTTCGCTTCTGTGAGGGGCCCCACAGGTGACTTTAGCTCCTGCAGGACCGCGCTCACGCCATCTCCAGGGAAATAAACGAACGACCAAATAAACCAGAAAAAATAACCAGGAAAAAAGTACGTTTAAATAAACTTACGTTTTTTTTGCAGAGCACTCCCCACGATGTTTCCCTTGCACCAAAAATATACGCTCACTAACCTGAAACAACAGAAAAAATACGTTAAATGAAAATAATAAATAAAGAAAAAAATCTTATAACATACCTGATTTTATCTCGTTCCATGCTCTCCATCCTACTGTCCTTTTCCAGAAAATCTTCGTTCCAGACCTGCACCAATCGTCGTGCCTCCTCAGAAACAGCCTTAAGGACAAGAGTACCTTAAGGCAACAGTTAGTGAAGAAGGTACTACGACTGAGACCTTGCACATCGGACATCCCAAGGCCACAAAAATTATAGATTTATTACTATAGGTAATAAGAAAGATTCAAGGTGTCTTTAACAAGATATATCTGTATAAAGAACTGAAGAGATTAAATAAAAATAAATGAGGAAAATACGAGTTAATTTTATTTTCAACGGGAATTTACTTTAATCGAAAATGGCAATTAATGATGTACCAAAGTGCATTATCTTAAGTTATTAAATTTAAGTTTCATTATCATTAAATACAATGATACCTCATATTTTTAAATGTAAATGCAATTAAAGATTATTTTAAAAAAATAGTAAAATAATGATAGAAAAAATAAGATTATGACGACGCCCTACAAAAAAACTATTACAAAGACTAGAATAAAGGAATTATTATTTAAAATTTATTTTAAAAATACAGAAAATAAAAATTATGTCTTTACGAATTTTTAGAATCTAATCCCAAATAACACTAAACAGAAAATACTAAAATAAGGTTGCGAACCTCAATTAACTTAGCACTCCCCATTCAACACTACCGAGACTAGATAAAATTAAAAATAATAATTTTGATATAATAATACTTGAAAAAAAAAGAGATCGGTTTATTGTAGATCCGATTCCATTAAAGGTTGAGCAAAAAAATGTTTTTCGGTAATAAATGAAAAATAACAGAGTAAAAGTCAAATTAAGTTTAAATTATTTTGAGAAATAGACACCTCGAAAAAAAATAAAGATATGATTTCTTGTGATTTTTACAAACGACAAGAAATACAAGATTATATGATTCGAAATCAACGCAAATAAAAAGTGTGACCTTAAAATGCTGTGAAAAGCCTTAGAACAGCCCCAGAACCACGAACCGACGCGACCGTTATGTTTTATTTTCTTCTATATTTCCTCTTCATCTGCATACTGAAACATCGATAAAAACAAAATCAGTAAAGATGCCTAAGTCCAGAAAGTCCAAATAAATTCAACTCACCTCCATTCCACATCCTTTTACTGGCGATTCCTGCTTTTCGGCGTAAAAAGCAGTGTCGTCACACTGCGGGGGCAGAAGGACGCCCATGGTCCCTCAAGGACTACGGACGGTCCCTGGGGAATCCCATTTAACGCGTCATCAGGATCGGCAGAACCTGGAAATACTTTTTAGTAGCAGGACATCTAACACAGATCGCAAATTCACAAATAACACGCGCTGCGTACACGATCATAGTTCTGGAAAGATAGAAATATTTTTGAATTAGATTTATGGAAAAGAAATGGGCAGATGTGTGTTCAGACTTACCTCACTAACACTGACACTAGGCTGAATATGCTGGACTACGGCCCATCCCATCATTCCAATTAAACGTCAAGACGGATGTCCCTCCCCCTCAGTGCTGGCTGTCCATCGCAGGGTAAATTTAATATTTTGAAATGAGCTCTATCGTTTTGACATGAGATTATTAGGAAAAATTAGTTTAGATAAGATAGAGAGTTATGCAAAATAGTTTAGATACAGCGATAGAGCAGAGAAAAATTTAATGGGCAGAGCAAAATTTAAAAAAAGAAATGGTCCCTTATTCCAATCTCTTACAACAGTGAAAAGAAAACTCTAAAATAACGACAGACTGGAACCGTCACTATTTTAGAATTATCAGTTCATTCATCTCAAAGGCCAGTAAATTTAATAAAAATTACTATAAGTTTTCTTATTTGAAATTTTATAAAAATATAGAGAATAAAACAGTTTAAATCAGAGCGAATTTACTTAATTTATACGTGAACGGGAATACTAAAACAAGAAGGCTGTTACTCTTCGAATCGTAATAGTATCATCCATTCACAAGAGACCATGTAAAAAAGATTATTTTAAACAAAAATGATGTTTTTTATTTTAGTTTTTAAGAGAGAGAATCGATTATAATCCCATTAACGCCAGAAAGAAGGCCTAAAACAAGAAAGGCTGTGAACCTCCATTGTCGTAGCACCCTCGATTCAACGTTACAGAGACTAAAATAGCATGATTATTGCTTTAAAATTTTAGAAAAATATGGTAAAACAGGAAATGCTAAAATAAGAGAGGCTGTGAACTCAATTTTTATGAAAGAGAATCCAATCCCAAATAACGCTAAAAAGAAAACACTAGAACGATGAAAGACTTGGAATCTCCATTGCCTTAGCACTCTCGATTCAACACTACAGAGACTAGAATATGGTGATTTAATTTGGTTTAAAAATACAGAAAGTAAAAATTAATTATTTAGAACTTTTAGTGCGAACCTAATCCCAAACAACGCTAAAAAGAAAACACTAGAACAATGAAACACTTGAGATCTCCATTGCCTTAGCACTCTCGATTCAACATTACAGAGACCAGACTAGCACTAAACAGTAAAATAAGAAAAGCTATGAACCTCCATTACCTTAGCACTCCCCATTCAGCACCACCGAGACTTGGTAAAAATAAAAAACACGAATTTTTGTTACAATAATTCTTAGCAAAATGAGTGATTCATTGAAGATCCGATTTCCTGGCACATATGCCGTTAAAGTTTTAGTAAAAATACGTTTTAACCGGTCATAACTCCAAGAAATAGAACCTTCATAAACCGTTTAAATGGACTGACCATAACACCGGAGAGACCCAAAGGCACGGCGGGTGTTGTTCCAGTCAATTCGAACCTTTACGGAATCTTGGCCAAGCCTCGACCCTCCGATACCAGCTTGATCCTCCATTCCTGAGGACATTTGTTCCTTGGAACCCTGGCCAGACCAAAAATCACCGGGCTACAGGGCGACCCACCTCAAAAAGAATCAGATTAAGAATTTGACGGTGTCGTCGAGAAAAACCATTCGACGACAGTTTTTATTTTTCGAGTAACGAGGCAACCCGGAAAACAAGTTTATATGCCTGCGTTTTCATTTTGTAGAGGAGAAGTGAAACTATAAAGACTTTTACTAGTAAAAGCTTTATATTGGTGGTTAACTAGCAAGGCGCTAGTACGACATCGAAGGCTGAGAATAACCACATAGTTTTATGACGTTCCGATCGGACAATTTAACGTAACGTCTTCTGCCACAATCCCTCCACTCAAGAGTGCCAGATGAGCCAACCCACTGCACCCCTTTGCAAGCCTCCTAGTCCTCTAATTGAGCTGAGCCCCACTCCCCAGACACCCTTTACGTTTAGGACAACAACCCGGCCCCATGGGATAGCCTGCATAGCATGATATAAGCTTACGCCCGGTAATGGAGCGGTCGAATAACATACCCACTAGCAGACTACAACGCAACGAGCACCTGGGAACCCCGGCCTGCTACCGGGGCTGTAATAATATGAGAACGAATCCAGGGCGAAACAGTCCCAGGCCTCCGAGACTGGCCCCTCGCGACAGTCCCCACAGCCCACAGATTGCATCGCAACCACCCCGCAACGCTGCTTTTTTGTGTCTATGAATTTTAGAAAAATACAAGCACTAAAAAGTACTCCTATTTATTATATAAAAATACTAGCTCTAAAAAGTACTGGCATTTATTAGATACTTCATGTGAAAGATTCTGTTAAAGTGGCATTGATTTAATTTAATTATAGTTTCAAATATAGAGATAAAAATCTTTGTTTTCATGGATAAAAGTCTATAAACATTTCTTATAGAGGTTTATTTGCATTAGAGAAAAAGAGCGACACTTGTGATATTGAACCCAGACTAAGTAAAACGACGGATTAATCTAACACGAACTCAGCGGTCATGTCTTTAGAGCCTGATAGTAGAGACATTAAACCGCACGCTTACTAGCTGGGAGCGTTGATGGATTTTCACGTGATAGCATTCCATGAGCCGTCTGCATGGGTAAAGTAAGTGTAGTTTGGTAATTACAATGGTGTGTCCCCATTCGATTGCGATCTGAAAAAAAAGAAAAAACTTACAAAAAGACCCCAAACAACCATCTGGCTTTTAATATTATTTAATCTGGAATAATAATCAACGACTGGAGTTACTGAAAGTTAAAATAAAAAATATATATAAAACTAAAAATGTAAAATAAATATACCGGGTATCTCAGTATTCGCGCTTCAATAAAACACCTCAGTTATACAGGGCATTACAGAGTGTAGGTCTTTGTAACTTTTAACTACTCTATGTCGCAGAGAAAAAATGTTTAAAGAGAAAAAAAAATCTAAATTAACTGATAGGTATTAGAAAAATATTTATTTACAAATTGGTCGTAGAATAAAAAAATATAGTAAAATATTACGTAAGTTAAGTAGTTGCGTGAACCCCCTGTATATACCGTACATCCAAATAATTATTATGCTCGATTTAAAAAAATGTGATTTGACTATAAAAAAATCAACTTTTTATAGTGTGAGCCGTTTTTGAAAAAGTGGGTGAATAATATTGTAATTTTGGTTGGTCTAAACACCTATGAGTGGGAAAAGATCTAACCAAGATATTAAAAAAAAAATAATTAAAAACAATTTCAAAAATAAATATTGATATAACAACGCCAAAAAGAACAAAGTATAAAAAAATTAAAATTAGAATAAATTAGCATTATTTAAAAAAAAATCCAATAAAATTATATCATTGAAATCAGCTATTATTTTTTCTTAAAAATTTTTATGCAAGTATTATAAAAAGACAACATATATTACTGTAGAGATTAGTAAAGAACACGAAAAATTAATAAAACATCAGTAAAATATTTCAAAACCTTAGTGGAACTTCGTGATTCTGGTTCACCCTATATACCTATGAATGCTAATAAAAATTGTTACAAAGAAATTTAAATAACTATTAAATAAAAATATATTAAAAAAATAAATGTAGATATGTCATTAAGAATAAGAAATAGTAAAATAAAAATAAAATTACAATAAAGCAGCCTGGAAAGTAGCATTATTTTAGGAAAATCTAAAGAAATTATATCACTGAAAACAGCTAATAATTTCTCTTAGTAATTTCTGTAAAAATATTCAAAGAAAACAAAAATATATAAAAATCTTACTTTTGTAATCTTTCTTATTGTAATTTTGGTTCACTCTATATGCCTATGAGTACCAAAAAATAATGTTGCCAAGAAATTTCAATAGCTAGGTATTTAATAAAAAAATATTTAAAAAATAAATATATAGATACGTGATAAATAGTATAATAAAAATAAATTAATAATAAACTAGCTTCGAGAGTAGTAATATTTTAGGAAAAATCTAATGAAATTATATCATTGAAAGCAGCTAATAATTTCTATTAAAAAATTGTATTAGAGGGTCAGATTTGTCGAAAAATATCAGGAAATTCATAGAAAAATGGTTGTACTTACCATCTCTCGAGCAGCTGGGCCCTACCCGCGATTGTACCGAGCAAAATGTGTAAAGGCGCACATTCACTCCCGGAGTGCAGCACGTCTGGATACAGCGCCCGAGCTCAGGTACGACCTGAGCTATATGACGTGTCCAGACCCATAGCGATCCTTGGTCCATTCCATCCAAAGGCAGCCTGGTTTCTTTGCGACTTGAAGATCTTGTATGCTGTGTTGATATTCGTCATCTCCTTCTTCATTGGCAGCGTGGTCCATATCCGTAACTCTGGTCCATAACCATAACAATGAACTACCTACAATATTAAGTAATAATTACTACCGTATATTAAGTTTCTAAATGTTATTTAGTATAAATACAGGCAGTTATAATTATTCTGGTTTATAGCTTCTATCTATTTATAGTATTTTATAAAAAAGTTATTACATATAAGTAGGTATTCTATTATATAATATCGTTAAGAAAAACCATATCAAGTGAACTATACTATTAGAAATATTCTTCAGAAAATTGATTTAATATAATTTATTTATTTATATAAGGTTTTTATTTTTAAAATACTATATACATCAAACTATTTAGGTCTAAAAAGAATTTATTTTAATACAGTACAACCGTATAAAAAAGAAAATATATCTATTTATAGCAACACAAAGCATAAAAAAGCAAACAGAAAGAAACCGAAAGTTTAACAAAATAAAGGTGGCTTTGACTTTTATTGTTGATTTTGCGCTTCTACCGGCCGCCTTTAGATGGCCGAATTTATCGAAAAATATCAGGAAATTAGTAGGAAAATGGCCGAGCTTACCCTCTCTAGGAGTCCAGCTATGCAATACACGTTTTCCGAGCATAATATATAAAGAAAACGCACTTTTCACTCCCAAATAACAAAAATTCTGGAGACGCAACCGACATAGATGTTACATCCTCAACGGCCCGTCCAGAAATGACGTAGATCAACCGAAACGACCAATAATATTGAGTTTTGGCGCTCGGTTCATAATTTTTGGCGCTAGAGGGAGCGCCAACGCGCGTTTTTCTTTTGTTTTACCGATGAAAAATTATGTAATTTTTTTACCTAAATTTCAAGTTTAAATGAAAATTTAGCAATATAACAATACCTTGGAGACTAGACTACTACCAGGGAAATGTAGCTACATGTTTTCCGAATAAAATGACACCAAACAATAAAGAAATAAAGCAAAATTCACAAAGATATCGCATTTTAATTACCCCAATGTCCGTAATTGTTAATATCGCAAAAAATAGATTTTTATGTTAAAAAAGGTTTTGAACCTTTAAAATACTTAAGGAATTATAGATTAACATTAAATATAGTTAACTAGGCAGTTTGAAACCTATCAGACACATATAAATTAGAAAAAAATTCAAAAATATGATGGCGGTTCGGTAGCCTTCAGAATATTCAATTAATATAACTTTGTTGTTCGATATTTTCCTTACTAATGTAATATTTAGTTAAATAGAGCCTTATTACATCTATAAATCATAAAACAAGATAGTATTACACCAATATAAAACTTCTACAAGACATTTTGTTCGTCAATGCAATGGACAAGATTTCTTGCTTTTATTTTATGAATTATGCACTAAAATCAATAAGAAGTCTCATTTGACATGATTCTGTGCTATACTAATTATGTTTTTGTAGTTTTTTAGCAATTTCCAACCCTCAAAACAACCCAGGACTAAACAATCATTTTGCATCTTCGAGATATATTTTGGTTCATTGTAACATCTTTATTTATAACTTGTGCACACCTTATAACACATAAATCTCATATTATATATTTTCCACACAATTAACAGTGAATATTAAGTAAATACAGTATTTTAGAACTTCTAAATAAGATAAATTAAGAAATTCTAATATACAGATTGAAATGAAAAGTAATAGCTGAGATATTTCAACTAAATTCAAAGTAATCAATGTAATAATCGAGATTAATGCGTTAAAATCTTGTCAAATAACGTTCTAGTAAGACTCTAGACTATATTATTATATATCATGTAGTCATTAACTTATTTTTTCCTTTCAACTACAAGTTTTACCATTTTTGATAAACATTCATTATCTGGGAGATTTTTTTGCTTTTACCATACAAATTCTGCACTCAAATAAATAAAACAAGATCTCTCACATGATTTTTTATCATTAATTATATCACTGTACACTTTAAACAGATTTTAAGTCCAAAACTGACTCGCCCTGTATAATTCAAGTATAATATGGCCTATATTAGTACGTAGTCTTGAAGGAGGCCCCATTCCTGGTGGAAAGCTTCAATAATTTAGTATTTCTCTTGGAATGGCAATTTTATGACACATCTAATGATCAAAAGAAATCCACAACAACCATACAAATAAACCTAAAACTTTAGTGTAAAAATATGTTTGTATCACCCATGTATATCTACAAAAATATTACTTAAAATATGTTTTTCTAAACAGTGGATCACTCTGTATACATTTTTCACATTACCCTGACTTTTCATATAAAATAAAGGATATTGCAAGCTGTTTTTAGATCAGTTTCTTTCCACAATATACTCTGTTTTATTGTAACTGGAAAAAATAAAGAAAATTGTAACATGGTACTCTATTTCTTCTGATAAAAAAATATTCAACAACGCTATCTAAAATTACTTAATTTTATTATTTAGTTCCTATTTAGTGTAGTTCTTTATAACTATTTCTGTTATTTTCTTTCTCGAACCATAGGTATATCTTTAAACAGAGCTGGTCAAGTAAAGCTTATCATCTTCCCATTCATCTTCCAATTTTCTCCATTGGTATTTGGGAAGGATATCTTCAAGTTGGTGGTGAAAATTATCAACATCGTGCCTTGCTAACAAGTTATCTGTTCAAGTATCGTAGGTCTCTAAACACAAGGCTATTGCTCGTACCTAAAAATACAGACTCAGTAAAATGTACGTACCAATATTTCCTTAAAGAAAACAATTTTGAAGGATAAATTTTAGTAGATTTAACAAGTAAAATACCTACCTTGCAGCTCAAGTCTTGTTATTACAGAGGTTTCGTTGCCCATTTTACAGTCTGTTTAATAAAAATAATAAAAAAACTATTTGAGATCACATCTAATATCAAGTTTATCAGTTAGTTATAAATAATACTGACTATACGTTTCTTACAAGTCATCTGTATACTCTCTGAATTCAATTTGTACAACTCCTAAAATATTCTATAAAGCTTTTATGAGAAATTATTTAAAAATATGTCTTTTGTAAAGATTTTAGATAACTGAAAATTCAAATATCGACCACAGATTAGTATAAGAACAGAAAATTGACAGCGATATAGACAGAACATTAGAACTACTACAACCACAGAAGCATATAGGGTTGTACAAAAAATCTTAGAAAGTGCATTTTTATACTTTTTACCCTTTTTTACACTTAGATATATTTTTTTTAAATTTAATTACAAATCTATATGAAATACTATTTGAAATAATGATTATTATTAATAATCTATCATTACCCAATTATTATTTTCCCTATCTCTGACTAGATACAAAAAAATCGAAGATTCTGTCAACTCAAAATTGATAATACGAGGGTATCTCAGAAAGTAAAGTGACTTATATAATTTCAAATGCCCATTAACTATATAAAAAGCTTAGTTTCTTTATTATTCAGTGTAGGTACTGTATTTCTTCGTAAAGATAACATTTTAAAAGGTTTACTTTCAATATTTTTTATTAACGTCACTTTTACAATTATATTGTTAATAAAATAATTAATAGTATATTAAGAGCATTCCCACACTGTCGAACTGGGAGTCTTTTTCCTGCTTATTACTTCCACGTGGGCATCTAAACCGTCTGAAAGTCTGCTTAGTCTTCTGGCCCATGAACCTCTGATACCTGCAATGGTAAAACAAAGAATATAAATTAGGTATACAAAGACTGTTAATTTTGAAACATACTGTATGTTCCGGAAAATTAATAAACACCCTTAAATTTGATCTAAGATCGTATTTTAAATATAAATGTTATAGGGAGGGTTTGATACACGTTTTAAAATTGTTATAGAGTATACAGGGCGCTTCAAAAAAGTTTGGCGAATATAACATATTTTTTTTAATTGCAGCATATTGTGCAGATAAAAATAAAATTAAATCCGAAAGAAACTTCTACATCCTGTATCTCCGAAACTAAGCATTTTGGACATACATTTATACAAACTTTTAAACATATTTTTATGTGCAGAATCAGTTCTGAACCACCCTGTATAATGTTATTAATTAACAGATTTTCTGATATTTGAATTTGATTAAACAAATGTTAGATTTCAGTGTGGTAAAAAATTGACAGTAAAAAGAAAGTATGGTAAAAAATTGACAGTAATACCATTGTTTAACTGTCTATCTGACGTAAACGATCTCTTTCCTCTATGGTTGTCGTGTGTGAAAGAGAACGTACGATAATATATTATGACGTCACGGTCAAAGACCGTTGAAAAACTATACCTACCTATTTTACTTTCGTTATTTTTATAAGAAATATCGTGTTCTCTGATTGTATTCAATACGTCATCATAGTCGTATTCCGTCTTTTTTAATCCATGTTCATATTTCGCTTCTTTGGCTAGCAGAGCTTCCCTTTGCATTTGAGTTTTTAACTAAAACATATAAGAATACATAAAAAATTGCGTTGAAACTTTTTTGTATGAATTTTACCTCTGAAGGCACATCTGGAATGACGTATTGCATGATTCCAACCAGAGCAAATACAACGTGCTAAAAATAATAATAATAAAGTACCTAATGTAATAATACTAACACTCGATAAAAAAAATGGCTTCAAAGAAGGCTGGGCGAATGACAATCAATGTAAATTTAAAGAAGGTTTGTAATTTATTTTTATGTCGAGTAAAAATGATTTTTAAATGGTTGTAGTAAATCTTTCCATAATTACAGTGTTAATTTTTGACAAGTTTTATGTCACAGAGATTGACCTCGCCAAAATTATCATCGATTGCCATTTTCCAGCCGTCTTTGACGCTGTTTTTTTTTTCGATCGTACGGTACTATATACTTATTTTTTATATGAAATCATACCTCAAAAATGACTACAAAAGCTAGTCTTGCTGCAAACACATGCCAGTACTGTGGACTCAGTCCATAAGGATTAGTTTCATTTGGCCCGTTTCTGTAGCCTGAAATTGAACAATTTTATTGCGATTAAACTCACATACGTTAATTAAACGTACACAGGGTGTCCCACGTAACAATGCACACTACAGGAATCTTGAAAGCATCGAAAAAAATAAAAAAGAAATTTGAACTTTCTGATCTGAAATTTAAGAATCTGGTTTACGAGATACACCCTGTAATGTGCATTGTTATATGAGACACTGTGTATATCAAAAAATTACCTCTATATTGGCAAGTATCTGGTGTCATTTCGTTGTCGTCAGCTCCCATGTTTTCGTGGTAATCGGAAGTATTAAAAACTGTAAACAATTTAATGATTAACAATAATTTACTTCTAGATTAGAAAAAGATTCTAGAAAGAACGCCGCATTGACTTAAAATATAAAAAAAAATGTCAAATAAAACTTTTAGAATTGTGTATGTGTATATATGCATTTATATTTTTGTGACATTATTATTTATGTGTATTTTAAATCCTATCGTGGGAAATTTGTGTAAAGAATATTGACTCGATTTTTAGTGAAATTGCAATGTACTGATTTCTTTCGAAAATCGACAACTATGAAACTATAATCCCTTCCCCGACACAAACGGTACATTGTGAAACAGGAAATTGTAGAGAGAAACGAGCCCTATAACATAGGATACAACATTTTAATGAACAGTGCTTTCCATAAAATCAATAAAATGAAAAATATACGAAATAATATACATGTACTGATTTCTTTCGAAAATCGACAACTATGAAACTATGATCCCTTCCCGGACACAAACGGTACATTGTGAAACAGGAAATTGTAGAGAGAAACAAGCCCTATAACATAGGATACAACATTTTAATGTACAGTGCTTTCCATAGAATCAATAAATTGAAAAATATATGAAATAATATACATGTACCGATTTCTTACGAAAATCGACAACTATGAAACTATGATCCCTTCCCCGAAACAAACGGTACATCGTGAGACAGGAAATTGTAGAGAGAAACAAGCCCTATAACATAGGATACAACATTTTAATGTACAGTGCTTTCCATAGAATCAATAAAATGAAAAATATATGAAATAATATACATGTACTGATTTCTTACGAAAATCGACAACTATGAAACTATGATCCCTTCCCCGAAACAAAGGGTACATCGTGAGACAGGAAATTGTAGAGAGAAACAAGCCCTATAACATAGGATACAACATTTTAATGAACAGTGCTTCCCATAAAATCAATAAAATGAAAAATATACGAAATAATATACATGTACTGATTTCTTTCGAAAATCGACAACTATGAAACTATGATTCCTTCCCGGACACAAACGGTACATTGTGAAACAGGAAATTGTAGAGAGAAACAAGCCCTATAACATATGATACAACATTTTAATGAACAGTGCTTTCCATAAAATCAATAAAATAAAAAATATACGAAATAATATACATGTACTGATTTCTTTCGAAAAACGACAACTATGAAACTATGATCCCTTCCCTGACACAAACGGTACATTGTGAGACAGGAAATTGTAGAGAGAAACAAGCCCTATAACATAGGATACAACATTTTAATGAACAGTGCTTTCCATAAAATGTACATGTACTGATTTCTTTCGAAAAAGGACAACTATGAAACTATGATCCCTTGTGCCCATTATGGCACTAGACTACCTGTTTAAAAATGTAAGGATAGGTTTCATTTTAACAGAATTTATATTTATTTTCTTTTAACTCAACGTACAAATACCTTGTAAGAAACCAATTAAATTTGGGAGCGTCCGAAGGCGCGTCTTAAAAAAATCGACGCAATATTGTTAGATATTGACCTCCTTACAATAAAGACCACGAATCGCCACTGGTCCTGAAGAACATATGCAATATTATCTGAAATACCTGATAATGAAGAGTCAATATATCCTACTAAATCTTCTGTTCGAGAATATTTATACTTGTACACCATCCTTGGAATAAAGTCACTAGTGTAAGCTATCACAAACGCCTAAAAATGATTAAAACATCATAATTTTTCAATTTTACTGCATAATTAAGGAAAAAAGTTACATTAGACACCACCGCAGCATAAGTTATGGCTCTGAGAATCCCATACCACGCGCCGATGTCTTCCACGCGTTCCGCCAGAGGGCGTCTGGCTTGAGTCACCATCTTGTAAGCGTCTAAGCGTATCTCAGCTATATTATTTAATAAGGCACATAGAGGAGCTAAAGGGAACGCAGCGACGAACAGCGTTACGAAGCCATATTGGAGTACTGCAAACAGTAATATATTTAGATCAGAGATATATAGAGATAGAGATAGGTCGAATGAGCTTTCTACTACCTCTGTATCTGTGGTAGGTACTTACTCATCTCTAAGTATTCATCAAAAAGAGCTAGCCTTCCTGGATCCTGTAAATGATAGTCTTCTTCCCATCTGGTGTGTTTCCTAGACAGATCTTTGGTGTTTGATCTGTGCGATCTGTATCTCCACCAATTATAAAATTTCCTTAAATATATTTCATATTATATTTTTAGTCAGCATTTTTTTTAGTCTACAAAGTGTTTTAAAGGCTTTTCTCATCTACATATACATATGCGTCTGACTTACACGTGAGACTAGCCTTAAAACCAGTTATAATTGATCACTTACGGGTTAAAAATCTCCACAAAATTGTTAAAAATCTGTTTACCGATCATGATGATCGATAGTTGAATACACAATTCGCTCAGGCAACCAGCCGGATCACAGATATCACCTTTCACACGAAAAAATTCGGATTTTCTACTTATTATATCTCCGGGATAGTCAAAAAAGCGACCCTGTAAATTTCAAAGGCTTAAATAGCTTGAAAAACACATATCTACCATGTGATCCAATAAAAAAATGTCCCAGTAAGCACTCTAACATTCTTATACGACAAAGATGTATGACAAAACTTACCTTAAAAAATGCGATGTATATCAAAGATGAGTAAAAATTCATGAACTCGAAAAGGAATATTTTAAAAGTGTAGGAATCTTCGTATTCTGTATGTGTTCGGGGATTTTCCAAATTTGTTAAATAAATTGCTAAACGGTGATAAACCTAAAATTAGAAATTCAATTTTATTTAAAAAGAAAAAAAAAGAAAAATTATTATTTTTTTAATTTAAAAAATTTGCATTAAATTTTAGGTTTATATCGAAATTAAATTTTGGGAGCATATGTAAATTAATTGAAAGCATTTTATAAAAATATATAGAGTTCTACAGGGTGTCCCAAAAAAAGTTACGCATGAAAGTTGGGGTTTTTGTAATGGAACAAATATATCTCTATATATTAATTGATTTTCAATTTCATGTTAAACCAAATTAAAATTTGACCCAAAAAGTTATAGAGGGTGAGACAAAATTAATGTTGAATATTAGTTACTTCTAAAAACAAGCCAGGTACTCCTTCATTTTTAAATGGAACACCCAGTATATTATTTCGGTATTCAATGGCGAATTCAAATATCTTCAAAATGCTATTAAGGTTGCCTACCCTTCAAACAAAGATTTTTCAAAATATATTCATTTTTATGATTTTGCGTCAGTAGATATTTTCTATTTGATAATATCTAGATGGCTGTGATATACCTTTTGTTAATTTAACAAAAAATAAAAGATGTAAAGTAAAATAATCAACGGTAATAAAAATATACAGGTTTAAAACATATTTTAATTAGTTAACAAATAATAATGATCTATTGACATTAAAATCATTAAAATTAAAATAACCAGAAAAATTATTGTTTGAAGGGTAGGCAACTAATAGTAATTTGAAGAGACATAAATTCCTCATTGAATATCGGAATAATATACTGTTGTTTATAATAAAAGAGTAACTTGCTTGTAAAGGTTACCAATATTCTGTATTAATTTTGTCTCACTCTGTATAATTTTTTGGGTTGTGAATTGAAATTTTAACTTGATTTTAGTTATTTTAACTACATATTAGGCTATATCGGGTAAGTTCCAATTTATGTAGCTTTTATTAAAATTTAAAAAATGTTCTTCATTTTAAGAAAATGCTAATTATGTCAAAAACCTTACATTTTAGTTATATACTTCTCTAATAAAACTCACCTTTATTTTTCTCCTAGAATCCGCAAATCAATTAATATATAGAGTGTTCGATTACAAAAAATACAACTTTGATGTGTAACATTTTTTGAGGACACCCTGTAGAACTCTCTATATTTTTGAAAAATGCACTAAATTAACTGACATATGCTCACAAAATTTCATTTCAATATAAACTGTCCTTCTCCTTGGAGCGTCCGCGTCGTAAGAGGCGCCACCCTGTACAATTTACTTTTACGATATTTGTAAAAAACGGCCAGAATATGCTAAAGTTCACTACACTTCACTTTTGTATGTCTGTAATGAGTATAGTCTGTCCGGCGAAAGTATACTTGACAGTGACAGTTCTGTCTGTCACTTTAATTCACAGATAACTTCGACTCGAAACCTTCCCTGACTCGCTGGACGAATTTTAGTACTTACCCTTGTGAGCGACATGATAAAAATAAGATTAATAAGTGCAGCTGTTACGGATGTCACAATTTTCGCATGATTTCTTAAGAAAAACCTCTCGCTACCATAAATTATCGTTACTAAAGACAGTCGGTATATTATAGTACCCAGTACTGCACACAGCACTATAAATAACTGAAATTTTTTGGTTAGATATAGTCAAAATAATCCAAACAAAAGTTGATTTTCTTACCATAAAGAAAACTGCACTGCCTGTGACAGCAAATCTGAAAATTTTTGATCTTAGAGGAAGATAGGGTTCCTTTTCTCGTGTTACGGGGTTTGTACGAAAAGTTTTCACACTAGTTTCAAATTCTGAAACAAAAGGAATATACAATAAATGCAAATTTAATAATAGAAACATCAACGTCCGATTAGACTGTAAAACCTATCATACATAATTTATTTTTGATTTAACCTCAGAATAGAAACAATCCCCAGATTAAATTGAAGCTAAATCTTACGCTGTAGGTACTGTTCGGGTCGCTCTCAGGGGGTGTGTGGCCGAAGGAAATATATATTATACTTCAGAAATCTGCCTAAAGCTTAGTCCGATCCTGTCGTGTTAAGCCACACCCAAAATTCCCAACACACGTGCTTTGATTAAGGCTTGATTAAGGATTGCAGAGCTTCAGCATTTGCCATAAAATAGTGAGTAATTTGTTACAAAACTATATAAATTATATATCATTGTAATCACAAAACTTCAGTCTATTTTCGTATTGTAACGGAATTTTAAATTAGGTCTTTATTTTCGAGAAAATTTAGTCCAAACATAAAAAATATTTTATTGATGTTTGACCATCAAAATCTCAAAAATCAAGAAGTTGTCTAAAAATGTGCTACAATACGAATATAGTAAAATCCTTTATCTTTAATTTCCTTCTTCATTTGTGTAAAAATACCTAGCCAGTTTTACACAAAACGATAAATGCCGAACGCTTATTTTGCTACTTTTTCGGACCAGTGAAATGAACTCTTAAGGTTAGTTCAAAGGTAGGGAATGCAATCCCGCAAATGCTGGATCCCGCAAATGTGGGATCCCTCTGTGATTCCGCGGGATCAGATTTGCGGGATTTACCGTGCGGGATCTGCGGAATCGACACAAGGGGATTCCCCTTACGGCTTGGCCATTAAAAATAAGTGAAACAAACAGGTTAGTTATTAGATTTCTTTCTGGCGTGCGTAAGTGAAGAAAAGCGTTTAACTAGTACTTGTGGACAATTTCGTCAAATAAACTGCCGGACATAATTATCGGGACAAGCCAAATTTTAGGGTAAATTTAAAGTTGAATATCTTTTGAACTAAAAAAGATTTTGGGATGCGGTTTGGACCAAGTTTTAGATGCATCTATTGTGATTACTATGTGATTCTCGAAAATATATTTAGCGAATCGTATACAGGGTGTTTTATAAGAGTGTGAAAATTTGGTAAAGAATCTTTTTTACCGCAAATTTACAGTTTTTAAAAAATCGAAATTTTTACCAAGTACGACTAATCTGTATTGAAATTAGAAAAAACAATTTTATCGGTTTTTTATTTTTTTTTTGTTTTAAGGAAAATACGACGTTTTTTCGAAAAATGTGCATTTTTAGTCATACGATGGTCCTAAATGGTACAAAAAGCTTTGTACATTCTGCATATGCCAAAAGATTATTGATATAGAGTGTATCTAAATGCAGATAACTAACACAAATTGAAAAAAAACCTTCAACATCAGAATAATATTTTTATTTATAAAATAAGTAGATAAATTATAATAAAATTTAAGTTTATTTAATATTAAATATATTTTTTGAACACCTTGTACACATCGGTCCAAAGTTCTGTTCAGCTAGTTTAAGATACTCGCTATATCAGTATATTCTGGGCCTATGTTTGGCTATAAATGCAAATGTATGACTATAAATGCATATTTTTCGAAAAAACAAAAAATTAAAAAAACACCAAATTGTTTTTTCTAATTTCAATACAGATTAGTCGTACATAGTTAAAATTTCGATTTTTCAAAAATTGTAAATTTTCGGTAGAAAAAATTCTTAACCAAATTTGTACACTATTATAAAACTCTGTACACGAGAATTCGCTAAATATATTTTCGAAAACCACATAGCATCTTAATCACAATAGATGCGTCTAAAACCTGGTCCAAACCCCATCCCAAAATCGGAGAGAGAAAAGAATAGCATTTATTGTTTACAATCCCGCAATTTTGCGGATCCGCGGGATTGATTGCTTTAATCCCGCGGGTTTGCGGGATTGAGATTTTTGGTGCGGGATTGCATTCCCTATTCAAAGGTATAATATTAGGTATAAAGCTTCATACAGAACCACGAAATTAGTGGTTTCAATTAGCTTGGAGTTTATTCCTCTAATTTCCATGTAAGCATTGAAAACGTCAAAATTATTGGTACTAACTTTCAATTAGTAAGAAAAGTTAACAAATTTATAACTTTTTCCACTAATTATACTTCTAAATTTACGACTAATTTACTCTAACCTGGTCTAGGTTCTTCATCCTGCTCTGTTCCTTGTAGGTCCCACTCCCACTGGATGACATTCTGTTTCCTTCTCCACATTTCCAGAAAAACCGTAGCCCACAAACTCATGAAAATTGCAAAAAACACCGTTGCCGGATTGTCAAACAAGTAGGTGAGTTTGGCGAATTTACAGCTGTCAACCAGCCTGGTGTAACTACACGCTTTGTCGCACAACGGGCAAAGGGTTATATTCCCAGGACCCTTAGGATCACATATTTCTTTCCTAAAAATTGTTATTTATTAAGGTAAATAGGTTTTATATTCTATACTAAACATATACTGGATATGGAATATATAAATATGTAGAATAAGAACATAGACACACATATGTATTACTTACAAGTTCAATTTTATATTTGAGTGTCTTCAAAGGACAGGACAAGCGTGTAAAAACTCCAAAAACACGAAATGTGCTAAAACATTATTACGTGCATTTAGACAAAATACAGCTCCATACACGTATACAGTGATGCAGACTTTTTGTGTGACACTGTATATAAAACTGTATTAATATACTCCTTTCTTAATCTTTTTATTCAAAGATACAATTAAACATAAAGCATGAGCAATTATACAGAAAACGCTTACGTGGGTATATTGTCATCACTATCCATGGTGAATACCCCGTATAAAAAACACAGTGTCCCAACGATAGCTGGAGATATCAACATTTTCGTATAAAACCCCAACCAGCAAAAATAAAGTGCAATTTTGTCTCCGAAATATTTTCTTACTAGATTTAGGGGTTGCCTTTTCAGCATTTTTGAAAATCTAGCCCATTCAACATACAGCAACTAAAAATTAATGATACGATAATAATATGAGATGGATAATAATCTGTCTATACTAATATATAGAATTCTTAAGTGACTGACTCACTGATTAATCACGATCCTGCTCAAACCACTCAACGTAAGAAGCTCAATTTTGGCATACAGGTTGATTCTAGGGGGGTAGAGGTTCGATAAGAAGGGATTTTTCGAAATTCCAGTTCCAAGAGGGTGAAACCACCCCTCAAATATTACAATATTTTCTATTTAAAAAACGGTAAAGTTTCCGGAAAAACGCTTAAACACGTATATTTTATTTTGCTTTATACATATTTTAAGATTTTTTAAAAATGTATACAGGGTGTTTCGAAAAATCTGGTCATTGATTAATCACGATCCTGCTTAAAGAGCTTGACGTAAAAAGCTGATTTTTGGAAAACAGATTGACTTTAGGGTGTAGAGGTTCGATAAGAAGGGATTTTTCGAAACTCGAATTCTAAGGGGGTGAAACTATCCCTCAAATTTAAAATATTTTTTATTTAAAAACCGGTGAGTTTTTCGGAAAAACTCTTAAACACGTGTATTTTATTTTGTTGTTTTACATATTTTAAGATTTTTTATAAATTTATACAGGGTATTTCATAAAATGTGATCATTGAATAATCACGATTCTGCTTAAACTGCTTGACGTTTAAAGCTGATTTTTGGCAAACGGATTGACTGTGGGGTGTAGAGGTTCGATAAGGAGGGGTTTCTCGAATCTCAAATTCCAAGAGGGTGAAAACGCCCCTCAAATATTACAATATTTGTTATTTAAAAAACGGTTAGTCGTTCGGGAAAACGCTTGGACAAGCATAATTTATTAGTTTTTTTACATATTTTCAAATTTTTAAAAAGTCATACAGGGTGTTCCAAAAAGTTGGGTAATTTCTTAACCACTATTCTGCTTAAACTGCTTGACGTAAAAAGCTTATTTTTGGCAAACGGATTTTTCGAAAGTCAAATTCCAACGAGATGAAACTACCCCTCAAATATTACCAAGTTATATAATAATATCGCCATATTGTTTTTTCTCATGCTGACATAAATGTGAGAAAACTTTATCCAGTTTATATGTTCATGGAAATTCTTGCTTTACTTTATCATCACCATTACAAATGATTAATTCGACGCGAACGAAGTCGCTGGTACACGCTAGTAATTGATAAACACTTACTCTTCTATCTAACAGTGTTCCATCTGATTCACCTCGATCCCATCTTCCTTCGTGTAAAGGAAAACACGCTATAAAGGTGTTGTTATTCAAAAGTCTTCTTATTCCAACCTACAAGAACATCTCAAGTCAATATTAACATATTTTTATTTACTATAGGATAGCTACATGCCTTATCCGTATCATCAAATTTAACTCTGAGCAATATTTGCATAACAATCAAACTTCTCTGAGCACTTGAGTAACTAGTTGTTCGATCCTTGACTACAAATCTAAAATTAGAAGATTTTAAATTATTCTGTGAATTCAGTTAAACGTATATATCAGAATTCGTAGAAAATTTTATGTAGATTCAGAATATATACACCTTTGGAGGCTTATAATCTTTGATTTGGAAGAAAATTAATTTTTTGAATCCTTGTTTTCGAGCTATTTTTGATAATGGTTAAAAAACTTCCCCTACAATTAATATTTCTTACTCTACGTATTTTAAATCAACCTACTGCTCTTCTCTGTCTCCCCCATCTGTAGCATCATAAAATGACGGTTCTTTTGGTATCAAATCGTGATTGTACTCGTATATATCACGCCATTTCTTTTGCCAACTTTGCCACAAAGATATGCCTTTGACCTGATCCTTCTTATCGTCCTGTATATTAAATAAAACGATTAAAAATTTATTTATGTCCCAGAATCGTTTTTACAAGAAGAAAAACTCTTGGGACAACATGTATATATATTACGGCTAAAATGGATACTTTTTACAAACAACACAACCAACAAGTTAAATGAGAAACTCGACACAAGTTGTTTTTAAAAAATGTTTTATTTAATAAAAACCGAAGTTAACAGCTCTAAGATCTACAATGGACTCAAACTAATGTACTGTTTGAGTCATATTTATAAGTTTACATTGGTTACAAAGCAAGTACATTTTGATGTGTACTAAACCTAATGTACAGGATGTAACTAACACCGCAAACTAATCCCTAACCCACAAAATAACAGCCCTTTTTGCAAAATACCTGGCTAGTTTGAAAACTAGTTTGAAAACTAGCCAAGTATCCATTTTAGCCCTAGCATATTTTTGAACGATGTCTATCTTACCCAAGCCTTGACAGATATAGTAATGAATCTTTTGACAGGCAGCTTCATTCCCATTAATGCTGCGTAGCGAGTTTTTGTCTTCCAGGGTAGATGTATTTTTAAAAACCATGTTTTACCGTCAAAAGATAGATCTTTGTGTTCTAACTCCAGTTCCAATCCTTCTTTAACAAGATTTTCCTAAAATGCAATCATGTATCATGATCTCATGACCGATAGACGTGGAAGTTAGGCATCGGACAACATCGCAAGACGTTCTAAACCGATATACAGGGTGTCCCAGAAATAAGTGCAAGTATTTTAAGGGGTGTATAAATTAGGCAAAGAAAACAAAGTCCTCCTACACTGGGTGCCTGCTCACCAAGGGATAGAAGGCAATGAAAAAGCAAATAATCTAGCTAGGAAAGGAGCGAACACTCCACTAACTGGACCAGAACCGTTCTGCTTTCCAAGTGGTAACCAACTCAAGGCGGAACTCAAAAACTTGGAAGATTCCGTCCGCAACCTGGAGTGGGAATCTTGCAACGGTCTAAGACACTCGAAGAAGTTTCTGAGGGCTTATGATTAAGAAAAATCACAGATCTTCCTGGGTTTAAGTAAGAACAATCTTCGGATTGTCACGGGGTTTTTAACAGGACACTGTCTCCTCAATTAACACCTCAGTAGATTGAAACTAAGAAGAAACGGCGAATGCAGATTCTGTGGGGAAAATGAGGAAACACAGTACACCTCATCACTGAGTGCGCCGAGACGACAACCATTCGTGCCATGAACTTTGGTACGACTGATATTGGAGATGGAGAACTACCCTCTATAAAACCGTCCCAGATACTGGCTTTTGTCAAAGCCCTGGGACTGTATGATGAGTTATGATTCAAGAAAGGGGGACACAATGGATCTGTAAGGTCGAAGTGATTAACCCCCCTCCCACTCATTCTAAATTCTAAAAATTCTAAAGGGGTGGTAGATCTCGATAAAAGAAACATATTTTCTCTTTATCGTTTTTCAAATAAATTCAAAATAAGGTTAGTTATTTTACTTTGAAAATTTCCGAAAAAAAATGATTTTTTGCTAAAATTTTGAGAAAATTCCAAAATTGTTTTTCAAAAAATTCCGAATTTAAAAAAAAATTTAGCAAAAAATATCTCATAGGAGCGTTTCTGGGGTGAATACCAGTTAAAATACTTGCACTTATTTCTGGGACACCCTGTATATTATAAATTAACGAATCAAAAATCACCTGAAATATTTTTCTGTTGTCTCTCTTTCTTGCTTCTGCTTCAGTCATCACTCCCAGTTCTTCTTCTTCATAAACCAGAACCATATCAATTTTTCTTCTACCATCTCTAAAGAATAAACTATCTGGGTCCAAATTCTGAAAAAAAAAATGATTAATAAAAATATACAATTTCTTTAATATGTTTTCTAAAGGATTCACTCAAAATTTTAAGTTCCTAATTATTGAGAAACATGTTTTTGTGTACCTGTGTTTTCTCAGCAATGGGAGTAGGAGGTGATAGATCTGTGGTAAATGGTTCATCTACTGCGTCTTGTACTAAAGATGGTAGTGGTGTTCCTGGGAGGGTAGTGGTAGCGTCATCTCCCAATTGAGGCCCGAATGCGTCTTTTATTGATAAAAAACTTGTCAGTGCTGGCTGGAAGAACGAGGTTACAATTACCATCAAATTAAAGCAAAATATTTACATTTATAAAAAAAAAGTATACAGGGTGTTCTGAAATGTATTCCAGAAACTTCAGCAGCATATTCCGCAGATAAAAATAAGTAAAAAAGTTCGTATAAATGTCTGTCTTAACATATGCGTAGTTTCGGAGATACAGGTTGTAGAAGTTTCATTTTAATTTAGATTTTTCCAAATAATTTATGAAGTAACCTCAATATTTGGATGAAAATTGGTGTCTGGGAGTTTTTTTGACATGAGAAATTTGATTTTGATGTCAATAGGACTCGTATTTGAAGGGGGCGCCACCTACATGTGTTTTAACTGTTTTGAAAAGTAATAACTTTTCGTCCGTACCTGTATAATATTACTGAGTTGAAGAAATATACATTCCCGTGATTTTTACGCAAAAAATGTTTCTTGATAAAAATCGCTACCAGCAACCATTTCAAGATATTTAGAATGGATAAAAAATTGACAAAAAATAAATACGTTGAGTAGATAGTTATTTGAATGAAATAAAAAATTAGGGAACTTTATTTTTTAAATTATCATAATTTTTGAAAAGTTATTACAGTTTAAACCAATTAAAAAATATTATGTAGGTGGTGTCCTTTGCACGTAGAACTCATGTGGACATCAAAATGAAATTTCTCATGTCACAAACTCCCAGGCACCAATTTTCATACAAATATTCACGTTACTTCAGAACTTATTTGGAAAAAATCGAAATAAAAATGAAACTTCTACACCCTGTATCATGAATTTGTATTTTTCCAAGCTCTGGGACTGTATGTTGAGTTATAACTTAAGAAAGGGGGACACAATAGTCACATACAATCTCCCACACAATCTACAATTTCTAACTGTTTAGTACAGGCATGTATGAAAAAAAAACGTACCTATGTAATGAGCCTGGCATAGTAAAAACAACATTAGTGTAAGTGTATTACAATAACGTGTAAAAGTAAGCAAATTTAAACATTGTATCAAGTAAACTATACATGTATGACGTCAAACTCTGCTGTTTCGAGACCCTGAATGGATAAAAGTGATCTATTATGTATGAAATTATTTTTGTCTAGGAAAAGAGGTCAACACCAGAGTCAGTTTTATTTTTAACTCGAAATTTATACATTATTTTTATTGAGAAATGAGAAATTTCAGATTCAAAGAAGTATGAATTTCTTTTACATGTCATAATATAACGGGATCTTATTCCCATTTTGTTATGTTTTCCAATTTATAGTATGCAAACTCAAATGCAAACACCCAGATGCAGAAAAACGGAGAAATTTTTTATCAAATTTAAAGTGTTATATTTTTGTTATTTTTAGCCCTATTTTCATGAATTTTTTAGCAAGCTCTCTATTATTATATCAAACAAAACCAAACTTTAATTTGCAAACTACAGTACGTCTGTTTGTTCTGTAGCTACGGGGTATCCGTGAGAGGGGAAACGATATTCTCTCGATGTTTTTCGTAAAAATATAGACGACGCGTCCCATCAATAAAAATTCAACAAATTTGCAAGTAGCCAATAAATAGAGTGGGCGGAGCGATTTGCGGTGACGTACTCGTTAAGTTTTTTTTGTATAACGATACAGTCCTAGTTTTAATAAACCATTAATAACGATAACAGAATTAACGATATGAAAGAAAATATCTGTAATACTCAAGTATACAAACAGAAAAAAAAATGTAAAAATACCCTAATACTTTGCATTTTGCTTTGCCTCCCTTGGCTGCTATAACTGCCTGTATCGTCCTTTCATACTGTCATTGAGGCGGCATATATTATATTGCGTTATGCTTTTCCATTCTTCTTTAAGGACAAAGCGAAGTTTATTTAATGAAGCTGGTACCGCTTCGCGACCTCTAAAGCGTTTCCCAAACGTCGAACATGACGGGCAGTTCATAGTAGTATATAGTTCACAATAATCACCAAGAGAACCAACCTCTGTACAACCGTCTCAGATACTGGCTTTTGTCGAAGCCCTGAGACTGAATGATGAGTTATAACTCAAGAAAGAAGGACACAATAGTTACTATTACTTTTATATACTACAATTTACTTACTCTTTCTTGTTGCCATGAACCTCTTCTATAAGAATTGTTCTTCGGACTTTCCTCTATATCTTTGAGTCCCTGATCAAAACTAGGACTTCTATTTCTTCTCGAAATATTGATCAAAGACTTTGATCTGGTTTTGGTCGTTTCACCTATATCGGTGTTATTGAAACCATCATGGTTGCCTTGAAAGTGAGGAGTCAATCTTCTTTCTAACGGTTTGGATTCTAAAGGCAAGTTTACACTTTTGACGCTCTCGTTACTAGCGCGTCTCGATGAAGCTACCAAGGAGAATAATAAATTTTATAGCGTCATACTAAGCATAGAAGTAACATATCTGTGTCAACATACTTTAAAATGTACGTTATTAAGAAATATACCATACAATCGAGAAAAGAAAAACGGCGTCAAAGAAGCCTGGGAAATTACCATCGGTGGTAATTTTGTCGAGGTCAAGCCCTAGACGTCATTTACTTGGCCCGTACTTATATTTTAATGGTGCTTACTGACAGTTGGCCTTAAGTAGGTTGTAATTTATTTTTAAATTGATTTCTGAAATGAAAAGGCCGTCTTTGACACTGTTTTTTTTTCGTTCATACGATATATAGATATACTAAGGGCTGGCAAAGGTTAGTCTTGGGTCGAAATTTCCATATGTAAGAAGAGCACAATGGCGTTTATAATGTACTGAACAAAGAGGGAACAGTAAACACGTTGCCAAACGTATGAAATGAATCGAGAAACTGTGCACATTGCTAAGAGACGTGGAAGGGGATATAGCAGATTTGTCGCAGTTGACCGGTCGACCCAATCAGTACCTCTGTCAGTACTTAAAGTTCTAGGAAAAGGTGTACGTCATGCGTTCAGCTTCACGATTTAATTACGTCTCGTGATACTTTAGTTGTTTATTTATTAACGAGTCATAATTTTCCCTATGGCTTGAAAATTTTTAAGTGCAAGCTAGAAACACTTGCATTTTTGGTAAAAATAAGTGGAATTGAGTTAGTTTTCGACAGTGGTCGGGCTATTAGAACTCTGAATTCAAAAATCGATATCTCGAAATCTATTAGAAATAATTGATTGTAGTTTTTTTTCAAACACTTTCTTAATATTTCTGCTGTATTTTCTTCGTAGACAGTAAGTGAAAAATCTTCCCCTCTGCTGTGGAATCTCGTTATGAACGGACTGCTTGATAGTCTCAAATATATTGGTTTGTGCACTCTAACATGCAGACGATTTTGGTCGTAAGTAGTCAGAGGTAAGTTTAACACAACAGTAAAGGAGCGAATGCAAAGGGCCCTGAAGATTGTGGAATCATGGGTGACACGGGAGGGACTAAATATTAGTCCTACAAAGACCGTAATAATCCCCTTCACCAAACGAAGAATTTTGGAGGAACTATGACCTCTAAGACTCTGCGGTGATGAGATTCCTCTCTCGGGGAAGGTCAAGTATTCTCTAGGAATCATGCTGGATACCAAACTGACCTGGAACCGACATTTGGGAAATGTCACAAGGAGGGTGGTGACTACACTAGCGGTAGTCAGACGACTTCATGGAAAAATCTGGGGCCTCAGAGCACAGATGGTGCACTGGCTGTACACTGGAGTGGTGAGGCCTTCAGTAACATATGCATCCTTGGTATGGTGGCCTAAGGTAATGCAACAAACAACAATGCTCAGCCTTAGTAAGGTGCAAAGACTTGCTTGTCTGAGCATAACAGGGGCAATGAAATCAACGCCCACTGCATCAATGGAGGCGCTTCTGGACCTTCCGCCTCTTCACATAGTGATCCAGGCGGAGGCAAGAATGGGACTCTATCGACAACAAAGTGTCTTGTCTCTGGGAAATAGGACAGAAACAGGACACTTAAAGATGGGAGATTCTATCGGAGGATCTCTACTCCAAATGAGATCGGACCAAATGGCCTCTCTTTATCACTTCCACAAACCATTCGAGGTGAACAAAATGGATCAAGGAATGTGGATATGTATAACATTCCTTCAGGATGGACTAACCTGGTATACAGACGGGTCAAAGACCGCTGAAGGAACAGGAGCTGGAGTATTTGGGGAAAGACCAAGAGCAAGCTTATCCTGTTCCTTGGGTTCCACTCAACCGTATTCCAGGCAGAAATCTTCGCCATTCTACAAGAGAAAACAATAGAAGAGCTTATTCAGGTAGGCTCATCAATATATGCTCAGACAGTCAGGCGGCACTTGGGGCGCTTATGAACCCAAAGGTATCGTCGAGACTCGTCTGGGAATGCCTGGGTGAACTGGGAGCTCTGGCACGAAGGAACCGAATTAAATTATTCTGGGTGCCGGGCCACAGCGGCATCCAAGGCAACGAAAAAGCCGATGAGCTAGCTAGGCAGGGATCATCGGCATCCTATCTTGGTCCAGAGCCAGTACTGGGAATATCCAAGTGTATGGCCCGTAGTGCACTAAAACTCTGGATCAAGGAAAAGCACAATGTCCACTGGAGAAACAGACAGGGGCACAGGCACAGCAAGGCTTTTATCCAAGGACCTAGCTCTAAAACCGCAAAAGAACTGCTAATGCTTAGCAGGAATAAAGTGCGGATTATAACAGGCCTCTTGACAGGACAGTCAAGTGTTATCTGAACAAGCTAACCTGTATCAAGGAAGTCTTTGCTGCAGACTCTGCGATAAAGATCCTGAAACAGCGGAGCACATAATATGTCATTGCGAGGCTCTGGATCGCAAGCGACACTCTTTATTTGGGAAAGCTAGGCTAGAACCGGAGGAACTATGCTCCCATCCTATCAAGGACCTGCATAAACTAGTGCAGGGCACAGGGATAGGAGAATGGGTGCAGATATAGAAGGGGGACAAACACAATAGGCCTCACAGGTCGCAGTGTTTCCGGCAGAGGACGGCCCCTTGTTATGGAAAAAAAGTGAAAAATCTTTATCAATAAAAAAATGCTAGGCTGCGCACTTTTTTTGCTATGCTCTAAAAGTAAATAGATGGGTTGTTTACAATAATTTTTGAATGGAAAAAACAACCTTATCGAATTTTTCTTATGTAAACATATTGTAAAAGATCCTATCTTCAAAATAAAAAAAGAAGTTTCAATATCTAAAGTGTTTCTTGAGTTATGGCGTGTTGTGTTAAAAAGTTGAGTTTTTAAATTATCGCGATTACTGACATTTTCTCGTTATAAAAAAATTACACCCTAAATATATCCTTATAATGCCATTTCAGATGCTCAGAAACATTTCTAATGATTTGATATAGTTATCTTTTCGAAAAAAAGTCTTTTAAAAATAAGCGGTTTACGATCGTGATTTGACTTTACTTGATAGGGAAAGTCATACCGACAACGCCGCAACAGCACTCCGTCGCATTTCTCTCACTCCGACTTAATAAGATTCCTATTATATGCGATTTACTTCCACACATGTAAATACCGACCCAAGAGTAACAGTTGCCAGCACGGTATAAAAAACATCTTCTATGCCAATGGAATATATAAATAATATAATGGACGCCCACTGTTCTTGTTTTGTCTCTGATTTTGTCACGCTGGATTAGGTACTAACCGAGTGCCTACATATCTAAATACATTAACCAACGTACTTACCGCCAGATCTCGAATAGATCTCCGATTCTATAAACATCTGATTGCTGTCTTTCCCGTTGATATTGTTATAGTCCATCTTGCTAGGCTGCGCACTTTTTATTTTTAATGTCATGAAGGAACTCGATAGATTTCTTTTAGCATCAATATAAATTAATGTCGTAGGTAGTTTTAAAAATATTTATCAGTCAAGATCACAACCCTTAATAAACAGTAAACATAAGATATTTTGTAATTGTTGTTAATTGTTTTTGAGGAAAAATATTACTTTTTGTTAATATATTTTAAATTAATATAAACATGTTGACTGGAAAGCGAAAAGACACTGGAAATTGTATTTATTAGAAGTTAGTACACCAACATGACGTCTCATTGCTCTAATATCCATCGAGCTATAACAAAATATTAACTGATTCATCATTATTGATTACCTATACAGATCGGGACAGGCCAACTCTGCGGGTTGGATTTTAACGTGTAAGACAGTGATGTAGACAGCTTAATGACAAATCAAATGTATTATTAAGAGAAAAAAGTTGGGTGGGTATGGGTGGGTAATGCTAAGATAATAGATTTATACCGGATCGACAAGAGAAAGTCTTGGGCAGGGCCGCGTTAAGGTGATTTGGTACCCTAGGCACCATTTAGTTTGCCGCCCCCTTCAACTAATAAAGTTCAAGTAAATTTTGTTATTCAGCCTGCCGCCCTAGGCAGCTGCCTATCTTACCTAATGGATAAAGCGGCACTCACAAAACACATACACAAGAAGAAGTGCGAGCGCCTTGCTAAATATTGGAAAGTGAAATTGACGTTTAAATTTGACACTGTTGACAAGTCTACTGCTACTAGCGCCCCCAATTTCGCTTGTAGGAACTACGGACTAAATTGTCACGCATGGCGGGAAGTTTAAAAAAATAAAAAAATTTATTTCTTCATTTATTTTTAATTATGACATACACAAAAACACAAAAAATACACCATTTTTTAAAAATATGTTTAATATCAATATCAAATATACAACAGAAATTAATTTCACCACAATAAATTAATAAAATTAAAAGAATAATGTTACAAGTAGATCAAGAGACAAAATTAATTATAACAAAACTGAAAAAAATGGCGTCATAGATGGCTTAGAAATAAAAGATATATCATAATTTTGAAAGTAAAATTATATGGGAAATGTCTTCGATCATCATTTTTAAGCCAACTGGACGATTATTTCAAACATACAAGCTGAGTTCGTTCATAGTGCTCTGAGAAATCTAGATAAACAAAGAATAATAAATTAAAAGTATTCCAGGGGAAAAGAGAGGAAAAACCTGTATCGTCTCTGATATCTGTCAGGGTATTGTTGAAAGTGTCATCTTTTTGCTCGAAGTTTTCAGGTCGATCAAAAAGATGACATTTACAACAATACTTTGCTGTAACTTTCACAAATATCAGAGAGAGTACATACAGGTATTGCCTCTCTTTTCCTCTGGGATGCTTTATATCTGTTGTTCTTTGTTTATCTATATTTCTCAGAGCATAATGCCGAACACGACTACAGTATATAATAATTTCAATATCCGAAGTGGAAAGAAAAAAGATCACCTTTCTGTTTTGTACTATGGTCCCTTTCTTCCGATGGCTCATCTCGTTGATATTTAGGAAGGATAAATAGGAAGGAAAATATAAAATTCAATTTGATTTGATGATCCTTTTCTGTCACCTAAAATCAGGAGAACGACAATGAGCATGTTAAGATGAAAAAAAAATTATCAACACTTACCTACACGTTAGTCCGAGGAGTTTTATTAAAAACCTATATATTTGCCTAAATAATTTATGTATTAAATTTGCAAAGCAAAATGCAGCGTGTAAACAAAAGAAATAAAATGGCGACAAGTCAACGTCAACGACCCGACAAGGAGAAAAGTGGTGTTCGAATAACAAATTATGGGTCACCAAAAATTGTTTTTGTCTCCTTTCAACGCACACTTTAGAAAGAAAAAGAGATGAACTGGAATACTGAAAGAACGTCAAGGTTTTATCTGTCACTCTTGTCAATAATTTATCGGTAAGGAAGATTCCTAGAAAATCGCTTGTAGTCACGTTTTCAACCATTGCCAGTTCTCCCATAAGAAGTGTCATCCACCTGGCGGCACTGGTCTTGGGTCAGCATTTACCGAGGGAGGGGTAAACCGCTGGTGTATTTTGGTGTACAAGATGTTGACATTACTTGGTATTAGTGGTATTAATCGTGGTATTAGTAGGCATTTTTTCCATTATACGTGGTATTAGTGTACAGAAATTTGTCAGCGGCTTACCTCTCGGCCTTTACCTACATGTGTAGAAGTGAATCGCTATGGCGATGTTGTAAATCGGAGAGAAAAAAATCCAAAGTTTATTATATCCACTTAATCCGACGTTTTACTTCATGCGCTTGGGAAAATTCTTACTCTTCTCTCTTATATCGTATTGCACTGAACACATTGACTGTACTCTTCGTACACACGACAATTACTGTCCTCCATTCACGCAGTTGTGCAACTCTGAACTGTTCAAGAACGCGATAATCTCACTCCATCCAATTGAGTCATAAAGTTCAGAACTGTTCCGCGCCATATGGAGGCACGAGGCTATCGCGCACAGCTCCTTTCAGAACCGTTCTGAGCAGCCCAGGGCGTAAAGCTCTGGAACTTGAAATTCGCGAATGGAGGACAGCAAATCGGCACCCAAAGCCGTGTGTACGTATAATTAAATAAACTAACCGTAAAACATGTTATTACTTAATCACGTACATCCGCAGTTACTTAATAAGACAGATAATCTTAATTACATAATGTAGTAAATAGTGCAAATTCTATTGTCGACCAATCCGAATGAATAGGTAATAAACTTCGCATTCTTCTAATATTTCGATGAAAATTGGTGTCGGGGAGTTTTTTGACTTGAGAAATTTGATTTTGATGTCAATATGATCCCTACTTGTAGAGGGCGCCACCTACATATTTTTGAACTGGTTTGAAGACAAATAACTTTTCGTCCGTACCTGTATAAAACAACTGAGTAAAAAATATACATTTACGACGTTTTTTACGTAAAAAAGGTCTCTTGGTAAAAATCGCTACGAGTAATGGTTCTCGAGATATTTGGAATCAAAATTATCAATACCTGTCATCAAAAAAACGTATCAATAAAAATTTTACAATTTTAAAATTTTAAATGGTTATAATTAATTTCTTAATAGTTATTATAAAATATTAAATACTAGACTTTTAACCAGTGTGTGAAATGATCAAAATTTTAAAATTCACAATTGTTCAAGATTAAACATCAACAAAAAGTCGTTTACCGCATATAGGGCTCTCTCAAGTAAGTATGATTTCAGAGCTTTGCGAAATGCGGGAAAGAATGAAAGCGACTTGATATCCAAAGACAGATTGTACATTATTTTGGCATTCTACAGTATTGAGCCGTTAACTAGTTCTGAGCTCGGGGTTGGCAGATAAAGATCGTGCTCCGCATTCCTAAGTGGATAGTTATGAGGTGGCATTTCGGGAATAGCAGATATGTGCTTGCGGATTAAGCAAACGGATTCAAAAATGAATAAAGAAGGAAGAGTCAGTATTTTGAAATTTTCAAAGAAATTCTGGCAGTGAGTTCTACTTCTACTGTTCAGTCCCAATAAATATCGAACTTCGCTTCGCTCTTTTCTGAAATTTGAAAATACGATCAAATTTAGTCGCGCAGCAAGTACCCCAGAATGGAAGAGCATAACAAAGATGCGACTCAAAAAGTGCATAATAGACTATTCTCTCTAATTAAGAGTAATTAAGTTTATTCAAATTTAATACACAAGTAAATTGTATTTTCTGTCATTTTTTCGAGGCAATCTGTCAAAATCTTCCCTGACTGGTTGGATAGACTAAAAGCAAGGATCCGTATTTTAGTTGTCGATGGTTTTTCTATGTCGCTCGAACTAAACACATTCATAATTAATGTAATGCCATAGAAACGACTCGTATCAACAAATGGAAATCAATTTTACCCTATTTTCCGGTGGAAATGATGAGCAGAAAGCTCTATACAGGGTGTTGTCTCGAAGATTTTAGTAAATAATGACACAAAGTAATAGAAATCGTAATATATGTAGTTGTAGAGCAGGAAAAGTTGTAATAGGAATGTGAGAAAATCATATATATATACATTCGGGTCAGAACGTCCTACGACGTTGTCCGATGCCTAACTTCCACCTTGTGCGATTTTCCCATTGATCTTCGGTCAGATTTTTCTCGCTCATTGATCTTCTGATTCCTTCCATCCGTGTTTTCTTGGGACGTCCTCTCTTTCGTTTACCAGGTGGTATCCAATGACATACTTGTTTTGGAATTCTCTCGTTTTGCATTCTCTGAACGTGGCCGTACCATATTAATTGTTTTTGTTCTATATCACTCATTATTGTTCCTTCTATTCCCATCTGTAGTCTAATGTCTTCATTTCTGATTCTATCCTTTCGTGAAATTCTCATTGCTCTTCTAATGACGTCCATTTCTGTTGTCTCTAATTTCCTTTTATTCCTTTCAGTGAGTCGCCATGTTTCATATCCATAGAGTAATATGGTTTTAACTAGTGTCTCGTATATATTAAATTTCCTGTCCTTTGTAATTTCAGTGCTCCATAGAATCCCATTTATGCATCTGATAACTCTTCGTGCCTGTATTACTCTGTTGTTTATTTCTCTATCGTCCATTCCATCTCCTGTAAATATAGAACCCAGGTTTGTCTAAAATAAGATTTTCTGTTTTTGCTCCTATTGGAAGGTATTTCGTTTTTTTCGGTATTTACTGTGAGACCCCATTTAGAATATTCTTCAATTATTTTTCGCACCATATATTCCATGTCATCTTTGTCATTTGCAATTATGGCCTGGTCGTCTGCAAATTGCAAGGTGTATAAGCATATGTCATTTAGTTCTATACCCATTCCGTGACATTTTTTCTTCCGTAAATGTAAGGCCTTAGCAATGTAGATTTTAAATAATGTTGGGGATATACAGCAACCCTGTCGAAGTCCTTTAATGATAGTAATTTCCTCTGAGAGACCGTTTGCCGTT